GTAGAAGCTTTGCTGGCTGAGGAATTCTGGGAATTGAAGTCCACAAGTCTTAAAGTTGCCAAGGTTGAGAACCCCTGCGTAAAGGATTTGAACATAAGGAGATTACCTATGCCTGATGACTCCCATTACAACAAATGGTTCACATAATATCTCTTCTTGCTCAATAGCAATTTTAGCATCTGTCAAAACTACAGAAACTCCCTGGGAGGATTGGGGGAGAGGTCTTGAGGCTTTTAGTATGAGGTCCTGTAGTTCTCAAGTCTGAGAGTGCATAAAGCATCCAAAATACTTCATACAGGTAAATATCTCTCTGTATCATAGGAAATGAGAACTCTAGCAGCAAAATTAGGTGGTAAAATAATAGAATCAGAAACTTTCCTTGACAGATTAAAAAAATAATCTTATCTAACTAATGCTAGTATAAATATATTATTTCTCTAATATAAAATTTATTTTTTGAGTTCTGTTTCTGTTTCTTTTCCTCCCTCTCACCCAAAGGTTCAGGAACAGAACTGGGACGATTTGGACAATTCCAAACTTTTCTGGTCTAGTAGTTTTTCATAACAAAATGTTTCAGAACAATTGTTATTGTTTGGTCATTTGCCTTGAATAAATTGGCTCAGTACCTATTTCAAATTATGGAAGTTATTCTGTTTTTTTCTGCACATATGAGGATACAGCATGCATTCTTAATCTGTCTGTATATTTGTTGCTTATAATTGGTGTTCTTTGTTTGATGCTCAGGTTCACAGGCAAACATGGCATTTTGAAATGAGCGCACTTATAAATTATTTTAATAATTTACTATAGAGAAATACAAATAACCTTTTTTTAAAAAAAATCAGATTGATAGTGGTCAGTGATGGATTTAAATTCCTTCCAAAAAAGATACAGTCTATTAAATGCTTTAAAATACTGAATTTGATCACAAGAGAACCAGGGATGGGAAAGCCAGATAAATATTAAGAGAACTTTCTTAAATATGTTTTCTCTTTCTACAGCATTGGAGTACAAAGAATAGAATGATTTTTCATGGAGCAATTGTAACATTTACTAAGACTTTTCTGATTGCCAATATAACCAACTAAGTGCTGAACATTTTATCTATCAATGTAAATTGCGTTCTTGTCATTAATATATGTGTGTATTTTATATGTGCTATTTTTCACCTTCTTCCTTCCACTAGTTAATACCCACAATGAGCTGAGAATCTTTAAGAGGAAAAAGTGTGATGAAAAGTAATAGTTTGCATAGTATTTGTGTTGAGTCAACAGGCATATGATGCTCAGCCTCTAAAATTCTCCATCGTTAGATTAAGTTATTACAATTACTTAGATGATTGAGTGTATTTTGGCATCATAAGTGGTTTTAAGGACTTACATAATTCTGTATGCTTGCATAATAGAAGTTTGTTTTGCTTTTCTTTATTCTTCTTACTCCTTTTTCTCTGCTTAGAAAAATGAGAAAAGGGAAACAAAATTCTTAGCTGTCACTGAAGACCTTACTAATGGCAAACTAGCACTGCTAAAGACAATTGAATAACTTATCTGTACTATTCAGGTCCCTATTGTTTGCTCTAGGACTCTGTCCTCTGGTTCACCATCAGTTCCATTTGACCTTTCGCTTCCAAAATAGTAAATCCAAAGTGGAAAGGATTCAATCATTTCTCCTCTTCATACAATAAAGCCACCTTCTCTAGCTTGGGGTTCTCCAGAGCTCTTGAGGTTAAATTGTCTAGGATTCCAAGAAACTGTGATCCAGTATATTTAGAGGAGATCAGATTAAAGAAGACAGTACCCCCTTTTCCATGGATGTTAATGTGATTCTTGTAATTTAAATATTCTTTTAAATCTATATTTTCGCTCTAGGTTATTGTTAAATATTACCACGAAAGCCATAAAATGAAAACAAAAACACATTAAACATACTACATAAAGTTATATGCATAAACTATTTATATCCTGGTTTGCAAAGTTCACTGATTTCTTTATTGCTTCATATTTCTTGAATCAAGGATTAAAAGAAAGTCAAGGAAGAAAGTGATAAAATATATAAAAAAGTCCTTAATTCTTTGCACCATGCATTTAAATAAGTTTATATAAGATCAGAATTTTCCAGTTTAGCAAGTGAATATCAGATGTGACCAAGGCATTAGCTGTTTACATTAAACTTGGCTAATAATAACAAGTGTAATCCTTTAAAAAATGCCATCCTGCATTGGACTGGCACCAAGATAAGACTCCTCTTTTATATGCAGTGCATGATTTTCCTATATGTCTATGCTTGGGCAAGATAAAATTGCTTGCAGTTTTCCAAAATTTACAGCTGTTTGTGCAGTGCTATGAATGCGTAGCAATTCATGTGATAACTCCTCCATATTAGAAATGGAATTAATGAGAAAGTGCTTTGGGGCATGTGGTTCATATCAGCTTGGGAGCACCACCAAGTTCAATGGATTGGCGTCAGAAAAGCTAAATGAAGCCAGCCTCTGTCTGTTTCTGTTGCCTGTTACTCAATCTTTATAAAATTATAATGTTATTACAATAGAATATAATGTGGTTGCATCAGCATAACTTTTAGCAATCAAAAGAGAGGGGAAAGGAAAGGAAAGGGAGGATATCAGTCTCAGGTTCAGCTTTCAACATTTACTACTTTTTAAAATTAAAAATATTCTCCATAATTTTACTTTAATTCTTGATTTTTAGTGCAACAGAGCTATTTTTTCTCAATTTGAAGAATTATTCTGGGGCATTCTATGACTAGAAAATCCAAAGTTTATCCATATTTTGATAATTTATCGCAAGGACTGTTGAGATGCTTACTTTGTTCAGTTTTTGCTGTGTACTATATAGTAGAATGGATTTTTTTTTCAAATGTATATTAACAAGCTGTAACCTCATTCTTGCTTACCTGACTTTAAATTGATTTTCAGGACAATATTATATACAGCGAAGTTCAGACATATTTAGATATACCTACCATGCTATTCTTTTCAGAGTAAGCATTGTTTTGGGGAATGCAGAAAAAGAAAAATAAGTCAACGAAATTAAATGTATGATATAACAAAATGAAAAGGAAGCAGAACTGCAACTGCTTCATACCGATCCAATTAACTTTATTTCTTAAACAGTCCTTGAACATTATCTCTTCTTTCTACCATGTCTACGCAGCTTTACTAAGTATCTTTTATTCTTTATTCTCCATTTTGGTTTTTCAGGATTCAATCTTCCTCATACATCCACAGCTTTCTCAAACACCTTGTTGTCAACCCATTCACTCATTCATACATACACTACTCCCCTTTTACGATCCTGTAGTCCCTATTAAGAGTAGAGTCAGGGCAACTGGATGGAGCTGAGTGGTTACTGGCCAAATGCCCTTCCTGATGCCATGTGAAATTCACAGCAGATATTTTTTCTTTGTGCCCTAGGAGAGAAAAAAAATGCCACTATCTGGGACTGAACTCTCAACCTTCCAAGTATCTTCACCACTAAGCTTCCATGGGATTCTACTTCCTTCATACACTGCTGTGTGTAAAAGTTTATGCACTATTTGTCAAGCTGTACCTTTCACTGAACCCATAAGAGAACAATAGCTGACCTCTACATAGTACAGGTAGTCCTCGACTTACAACAGTTCATTTAGTTGCCATTCAAAGTTACAACGACATTAAAAACAGTGAATTATAACCATTTTTCACACCTACAACCGTTACAGCATCCCTTTAGTCATGTGATTTATATTCAGATGCTTGATAACTGACTCTTTATGATGGTTGCTGTGTCCCAGGGTCATGTGATCACCTTTTGCAACCTTCTGACAAAGTCAATGGGGAAATCTGATTCACTTGGCAACTGTGTTACTAATTTAACAACTGCAGTGATTCAGTTAACAAATGTGGCAAGAAAAGTCCTAAAATGGGGCAAAACTCACTTAACAAATTTCTCACTTAGCAACATAAATTTTTGTTGTAAGCAGAGCACTACCTGTACTATGAAACGTGACATATTTCTGCAAAATTACTATTTATCAGCAGTGGTATACAGTTTTGAAGTGATTTCATTTAGCAACAAATCTCCAGATCCATGTTCCTGTGAAGCTTTCTGGTTCAGAAACTGCCTCTCAACATGAGAAAGATGAACCTAAATGTGCAACCCAGCTGCCCCCCCCCTCCAGTCCTGAGGTTATTCTTGGCATATTTGTTGGAATGCAAGAATAGGTTCTTGGAAATGCATAGTTTTCAAAGATTGCAAAAACTATTCATACACAGGATAAGAACCATTTGAATGTCAAATTTATTTTTCATGCATTTGGTCTGATATTTGTAACGCGCCGACTAGCCCACAGAAATCATCTTTGCTCCAAGTATCCCAATTATCTCTCTGAACAAACACAGTGAACCAGAAATAGCTAAATCAGGTGTGTATGTCCACTGCCGCCTGTTTGCTCAGTATGCAAATTAGAGTGGATTCTTGGGGATTACATTTGGCTTTCTGTGTGTAGGGGAAAAAAAAAAGAGCCGACATTTACTGTCTGAAACAGACAGAGAAAGAAAAAGAAGAAGAAGAAAAAAGAAGCTGTATTTGCAGCTTAATATTCTTTCTCTAACCACTTGGAATAACAGAGTATAGAAAAACTGAAAGTAAAGTCAACTTGGAAAACCCAAATAGAAAGATTTAAGAAGTGGAAAGGACTTTTTTTTCAAAATCAAGAACGTGCACTTCCCCCCCCCCACACACACATACCCAAATACATGAGCTGTAAGTCTGAGGAGACCCCTACTCATAAAAGAAACTAGATGAGAAAGGTAAAGGTAATGACGAAGGTTGAGATTTTTTATCAGCTACACCTCTCTGGCAGTGAACTGTCTTTTAGAAAGCTGCTGACGGAGCTTTGGCATTTGATCATATCCAACTGCTGATTAACACAGCACTATTTTATATTTAACTCTGACCAGAGCAGGAGGAGTTGGGGGTGGGGTTGTGCTGCTTATAAGGCAAATAGGAGCAGCTACAAAGTTCTTCTACATGCGTTTCCTCTTTCTTCTCTCCTGAACCGATTCCTGCTTTACCAATCATTTTCCTTTGGAAAAAAAATCAAACTTCTTTTTTTTTTTTGTTAACTGTCTGACAGAGAACTGAAGGGAGGGAGAGAGGAGAGAGGCAAGCAAAAGCAGATGAGAAGGAAAGAGGAAGAGACAACTTATTAAATACAGTGGAGTCCTTTCAGCCAAAGAGAGAGAAGAGAGCAAGCAAGCAACCGCACTATTGCTTAATGTGTCTGTTTTAAGTTTGGTGAGCATAGTGGGAGATGCAAGGAATGGATATTGAAGATAAGTCATCCAAAATGCATTGCATGAAAGGCAAGCACGTGGCCATCATTTGTGGAGTGGTAATTGCGGTGGGTTTAATTTTGGGACTCGGATTAGGTTTAGGATTAAAACCTGAGGCCTGCAATCCTCCAGAAGACAATGGGCAAGTGTCAACAAAACCACCCACATCCAGTACTCCAGATGTCACAAATCCTTCAGGGAGCAGTGTGTTTTGCAGTGCCAAAAATGATGAAAATGGAGGCTGGACAACTTTCAGGCTGCCCAACTATGTTCACCCTGTTCATTACGACTTAGACTTGACTCCTGAGATGGAAGCCGAGGTATACACCGGAATGGTAAATATCTCCATCAGGTTGGAAGAACAGACAACCAAGCATTTGTGGCTTCACCTGAGAGAAACAAAGATCACGGAAATGCCTCAGCTCAGGACATCCTTGGGCCAGGTCATTGAGATAAAGCGTTGCTTTGGATATGAACCACAAGAATATGTGGTGATAGAGGCAGAAGAAGACCTACGTCCTGGCAACTATTTCCTGAGTATGAAGTTCAAAGGCTATTTGAATGGTTCCCTGGTTGGATTTTATAGCACAACTTATGGAGAGAATGGAAAGACCAAGTAAATCTTTCTTTTAACATTTTTTGCACTATTATTTTTGCACAAGGCTATTCTCTCTTTCTCTCTCCATCTTACACTTTCTCTTTCCTCACCACAAAACTGTGGTCTTTCATATATGGATATATATATAATGAATATTAGGGAATGGGATAATGGGATAATGATAGCTACAACACGGAGATGGTGGTCTGGGAATATGGTTTATTTTTGCTTATGAATTTATCACATATTTACAAAGGCAACAAAATAAGCACATATCTCTTATGCTTTTGTTCTATAAAGTTCTTTATCTTATTCTTAATCTTACTTTTATATTGTTAGGCAGAATGTTCCAAGATAGGAAACATATGTCTGGTAGTTTAATTTAAATTATTATATTAGAAGCGAAATTCATTATTTATACAATGATGGCCTTGTTTTTGTAGAAAATACATCCAGGAAGCCTTGCATTTTTTTTTTCTTTTAATGCACAATTTCTTCCCTTTGTTGCCTATAAAGTATCTTGATGTATAATGGTTTGGTAATAACATGGCAGCATCCAGATTAAGAGTTGACTACTGTTAGAGATGTAGAAATGTTATCAGTGGAATGTTATCTAGTGGAAGGCTAGGTAGGAATCTGGTTGTTGCTTCTCATCCTCCTAATCGCAACTTCAAAGTGCAGCTGTTTTTGAAACAGGACTTTGGGAGTAGGGATGTCCATTGGTTGTGACACATGATCTCAGACTGTGAGAAATCTCAACATCTCAGTCCATATACGGAAATCCTTTTTTATTGGTTTTAAAATAATAACAAAAAGAAAAAGAAAAGGAACAACACACAAAGACATTTATGATAGAAATATATATATGTGACAGAGAAAAAAAAACATAAAAGTGCTTTCTAAAAAAAGTAAACAATGCAACAAGAAAAAGGAAAAAAACATAATATGATATATCATAACAGCAAACAGTTATGATTCTATAAAGATAGTCTTCAAGTTACAACAATTGAATCCAAAATTTCTGTTGCTAAATGAAATAGTTGCTAAGTGAGTTTTGCCCCATTTTATGTGAATCACTGCAGTTAGTAATATAGTTGTTAAGTGAATCTGGCTTCCCTGTTGACTTTGCTTGTCTGAAGGTAACAAAAGATAATCACATGACCCTGGGACACTGCAACCGTCATAAATATGAGTCAATTGATAAGCATCTGAATTTTGATCATGTGACTATAGAGATGCTGCAATGGTCGTAAGTCTGAAAAATGGCCATAAGTCACTTTTTTCAGTACTGTTGTAACTTTGAATGGTCACTAAATGAACTGTTGTAAGTTGAGGACTACATGTACTTATCTAGTACACATATCATTCAAGTATACATATATTTCTAATACATTTATATAACTATCACGTTTTTAACCTACTGTATTTTGTAAAAATAAGTCCCATGTTTTATTATATTTGTCTATACAAGTCTTATAGGCGCTCCTTTCATAGGTGGCAAGTGCAATCAGGTCTTCAGTCCATTGAGTGTATGGGGCCATATGTTTATCTTTCCAGTGCTGCAGTAGCAGTCTTTTGGGCACAATAAGGCTACAGACAATCCATTTAAACCCATTTTCAACCCAATTATTACCTGGTTGGCAAATTCCATGTTCTAGGTATGTAGCTTAAGAGAATATTATTCTCTGGATTTTTTAGATTTTGTCTCTGTGCTCAAGTCACTAAGACTTTGAGAAAAACTCAGATTTTGAAAGAGACTTGCTTTCTACTGCTCCAGAGGGCTGAACTAGAATTAATGAGTGGAAATTGCAACATTAGGGAAACTTCAAGCAAGAGCTGTTAGATTATGGAACAGAGCACTCCAGGGAGGACCTGTTTAAGCAAAAACTGGACAGCCATGCATTAAGGATGCTGTGGTTGCAAGTTCCCTGCAGTGAACATAATTCTATCTTGCAGGCTTTCATAACATGCTGCATTGTCCGTAGAAATTTACAGCATAGAGAACATTGTTTCCAAAAGTCTTACAAGCTATTGTTTATTTGAAAATTCATTGTATCACAGTATATGTTACTTATTAGTCCAGTCTTTCCCAATCTCATAGTCTCCGGATGTATGACTACAACTCGCATCACCCAGTGCTATTTGGATATATTGCCTGGAAGAGTGACAGTTGTAGTCTGAGTGAGTTTCATCCTTCATTCCCACATTTAGTCAGAACTGTAAGTAGGAAACAGTGTGGACTGATGAAGCAATATTAGTATTGACATAGTCATTCTTTGTATTTAAAGCCTAGAACAATCAGAAACAAATATTTTTCTAAGGACTGATTGAGATATGCACAATATGTATTGTCTTGTTTGGCCATATTTGTATTGAGATGATAGTAGAGGCTTTGAAATTAGATTTTTTTTTTCTTAATAAAATGAACTTTAATGAAGTATTCAGAAGAATAGGTCAGGCTGAACATTGGATAAGTCACGTGGTGCTACAAGCTCTACAAAGACCCTATTGTGGATTGTCTTCTGTCTTCCGAAATGCTGTAGAAATGCCTTAAATTGTACTCTTAATAGTCCTATACATTTGTAAGGCAGTTAGTTAGCATTGTCTGGTTCCATCCATGAGCTCTTTCAACTTCCAGTACAAGTCATAAACCAGTCTATACTTTGTGCAATGGACAGAGATTTAAAAATCAAAAGAAACTCTGAACTCTATAACTGCAAGAAGAACTTTAGAATAAAAGAAGCTGTGAGTCAGGATTGTGGGCACAGAATTGTTAATGCAGAATGTTAACTAAAAATAATAAAAAAGCAGGATTGCTCCCATTGTACACACTCAGTGTATGTGTGGCCAAGTCTCTCCTGCACGTGAGAATTAATGGACTATATTAAGAGTCAGTAGAAGACAGAACATCTGTTTTATAATAATCTGCTAAATAGATGACAAGGGGTTGAAAGGCAAGTTATCCATTTGTTGATCTTAGTCTTCCTTTCAAAACCATTAAGGGATATGTACTTAGTAACACCACCAGTAAAGAATCCTTTTACCCTAACAAAGCTGTCATATACTTGAAAGTTAAATAATGTAAAAACGTGCTTTCACCACATTTTGGTATGTACTAATGGGTACTTTGGAACATAATTCTAATTTTGTCTACATCAGCCTTCTCTAGCTTAGCACCCATCAAATGTATTGAGGCTGCAGCTCTCATTACCTGCTTGCTGGGAATTCTAGGAGTTGTAGGGTAGGGAAAGCCTGGACAATATTATTTGGGAGAGATGGTTTAGAACTTTAGATGTTTCCCCAAACCAACTAAGAGATACTACTTAGCTGGTCAAATGTAGCTATTTGGGAGTTGAAAGGAATGTACAGCCACATATCTTTCTTCCATATTTAAAATATCTATTTGATATTTTATCTGTGTGATAAATGGTAAGGAATAAATTGAAAAATAGGATTCATGTGATGGTTTGTGCTAAAAGACATCAATAACAAGGACATGGAAGTTATCTGAAGCAGAATGAAAATAATGATATCATAGAGTGTCCCAAAAGTACATGGAATTATGCTAATAAGAAGCATGAAAAAGAATGCTTTTTGGAATGATGAAGTAAAAGAGGCTGTGGATGATGAAAAATTTCATATAAGAGAACAACTGCTGAATTAAAAAAAAATAAGAATGAGAAAAAGGTAAGTCTGAACACAATCAGCATTTTTCAAAGCAAATTGTATTTTAGTTAAGATCTTTCCAATGTCTACAGTATTACTTTGACCTGGGAAATTGCACAGCATTTTTATGATCTGTCTGTACTACGGTTATCTACTCCAAATGTAATTTCTAATTCACTTTCTAACAGGTCACCATTGTTGGGATTTTAGCTATGTAGCTATAGTTCATGTTGGTGCCTGAATTTCCAAATACATTATTGTATTTTATCAGTAAATGATGAAAATCCTAGCTACATGTTCTAATCAAAGTTTTAAGTCCAGATTTAAACTGATAAGAATCAGCCAAGGATCCTGACAAATTGATTCTTAATGAGAATTATAGTCTATGATTTTTTTTCTCCTTTATTATTTTTTCTACATTTGTTTGGACCTCTCTTACTTTTATACAGTTGACAGTATTTGCAAATATGTGGTTGAAAAATTACCAACACTTTGAATTAATTTAAAAGACACATGTGGTTGTATGTTTTTATCAATCAGTTGCTACAATTGGCATTCTGTATACAATATTGTTAAGAAAGCATAATTTAACTTTACGTTAAAATGTTTAATATTAATTTTGGAAACAGTTTTAGTAACAGTTTACCTTGGTCACTTAAATTCTCTACATATAAATTAATATAAGAAACATCATCATACCAGCTTGTTACAGTAGGTTTCTGGATGAACTTCTGCAACTCAATATTCCAGGTTAGTCAAGAATGCCGTTAGATTATATTTCTTGAGCAATGGACAAAGATATACAAGGATACTCAGAGTGTATACACTTAAAGCACTTGAAAGACCTTATCACTTGGTTTTTGATTGCAATCTTATTTGTTATATGTGTTGATCAATCTGTCTCTCCATCCATCCATTCATTTTCTACCTATTGTGATCAATATGTATTGTAAATTAGTAATATTACTTTTATAGAATTAACTCTTTGTCTAATTTGGACCTGTGACATAAGTATCTGATATCCTTTTTTATTCAAATGACATAATTAAGTAATGAAATAAGTCCTTATTCTTCTAAGAAATTATTCCAAATATCCATGAGTAATGATTTAATGCAATAATTTTCATTCTTTTCCAAAGATACATAGCAGCAACTGATCATGAGCCAACTGATGCACGAAAATCATTTCCTTGTTTTGATGAACCTAACAAAAAAGCAACATATACGATATCTATTACTCATGAACATGACTATGAAGCCATATCAAACATGCCAGTGGAGGTATGTATTTAGACTGTTTCTTGTTGTTTTTTTTAATATCTGTCTGTCTATCTAACTGCTAACATATCCTGCAACTTGGATCAATATGTTAGTATACTTTTTCCCAATCTGATTCATTTATATGTATGTAAACACTTTCCCCAGGGAACTAATCAGACTACAATTTGTGCATACATGCTGTCTGCGTGTGGGTACATGTGGGGCTCTAATCATAAGTGTTGTGTCTCTGTGAGAGCATTTATGTTTTCCTTCTGTTGCTTTTCTGTGCTTATGTATATACATATACAATAAGAGGTAGAAGGTGGGTTACACATTTTCACTCTGCTTCATGAGACTTGAATATTTTAAAGGGGAAGAGATTGGCAGCATTCTGAATCACTGTCCAATTGCCTTTCCCAGAGGATTTTGGAGAAAATCTTCCCAGAATATTTTTTCCCCTTCAGATTCCCTAACTCAATGTTTCTTAAGCTGGCCACCTTTAAGATGTATGGACTTCAACTCCCAGAATTCCCTAACCAGCTTTGGCTGGCTGGGAAATTAAGATTCCATGCATCTTAAAGGTGCTCATGCTAAGAAATGCTGCCCTAGGCATTTTAGATCCAATGGCTACTTTCAAATTTGATATTTCTTTTCTTGGCTTTTCCCACAGCCAATTTCAACCTCTCTGTGTACAGTTTTCAAAGAATTGTCACACTGTGTGTTGTTTCCTTCCAACATTCTAATGTGTTGAAAAGAATAGAATAAGAATGACACAATATCTTTTTCATATTAGTACTAAGGCACAATTTCCTCTGAATAATGCAATCTCTGGAAATGCCATAGTGTAAAAAGGTAGGATCCAAGGCATAACTGTGAGTGACTATATGTAGTTTATTTATTTCAGTTGTATTATTTCAGTTATATACTTATGCATACAGATTGTGTGTTGCATTGTGGCCAGTTCACTCTTGCTGTATAGCTTCCAGATTTCCTCTTCTCAATAAGTATCAATGGGTATTTCTGGTATAATCTTCTATGAATAGGGAGGAATATTTCTTCCTCTTTCTTGCACACAAAAACACCTATTCAATATCATCAAAAGAGGTGCTTACTTTAATGCCTTGAGTGACTATTTGCCTGGAAATAAGGCCAATTGAGCTTAATGGAATGTGCTTATCAGCAGGCATGCTTAAGTAATTGTGGTTGCACTCCATAACCTATTTCTAGAAACAAAAAAGTTATGGTTTGCATATAGAACTTTTATTTTTAAAATAATGAAATGAAGTTACTTGGAAGACTTGATTCAATTTCTGGTAAGCTGGATATTTCCTAATAACTTTTGGAAATTGCCTATTAACCATCTTCAGACTATTAAAGATCTTTGAAATGACAAATTTGAAAAGTCTTCATTCGGGTGACTTTATCTGCAATTCTAAACAAAAGAAAGATAAGATATAAAGCTTATAAAGATTTAAGCTTAAATTAAAATTTTGAAATAAACAACAAAAAGCTAAGTAAGGTTTTGATCTAAGAAAAGTTATAAAAGGATTAAGAATCCGGATAATTTGGAATATTCATTTTTAATATAAGATTTTAGAATTAACTTTAAAAAATAAACAACCTTCTGTGGGAAACATATTTGTTTTGGCTATCCTGGATGTTGCAAGTCATAACAAAAGATAAGCGATGATTTTAGAAACTAGATAGTAGAGGGGACTAAAGACTTAAGCAGGATAAAAAAAAGGACAAGCCTTTTCTTGATATTAATTGATGCTGGATCTTATAATATGACACAAAATGTTATAACTTGGAAATATTTACTGAGGTCTTTGAAGAATCCAAACAGAAATTAGTAATTACAATATCGACACAATCTACTTTTGTGGATAGACTATGCCGAAAAGATGTAATGAAGAATTGAGAGAAGTGGAATACATTTTATCTGACAAGACAGAGAAAGTACAGAATACTGAAATACAAAGGACAGGCCAAGAGAATCCTTTGGAAAAGATACTTTACTGGATATACAACAGAAACTGGCTGAAGTTTTTACTGGATTTACAAAAGAGACTTGTTAAAGCCTTGATGAAGTCCATGTGACAGAATAAAGACAAGTAAAATTCTACAACAATATTTGATTGACTTAAAGTTTCAATCTGTTGAAGTAAATTACTGGTTAGTAGTAAAGGAAGGAATATACAGTTGGTTTATTGATCAAGGTTAAAATAAGACTTCCTTCCTTCCTTCCTTCCTTCCTTCTTTCCTTCCTTCCTTCCTTAGAGATGTGGGTCTATACATATGTTGTTCATAGTATATTAAGGTGTGTGTCATATATGTGTTTTACTTTGAGAGCGGGCAACTAAATTTCATTTTTGATGTGTGCCATTGTGCCCACAGTATAAAAATGACAATAAAGCTTATCTTATCTTATCTTATCTTATCTTATCTTATCTTATCTTATCTTATCTTATCTTATCTTATCTTATCTTATCTTATCTTATCTTATCTTTCTTCCTCATAGTCCTGGGAATCATTTATGGTAGGGGTATCAGACTGCTGGCCCGCGGGCCGGACACATCATGTGGAAGCCACGCCCACCCCATTGCTGGCAATGGCAAATCAGTCCTGATACGTTGCGCGACGTCACATGACGTCGCGAGTTTCACATGTCTGATTTATGGCCTTTTTACTGACTTTATGATTGAAAACTTTATGTTTTATGGATTGCTTATAAATAAGGAATGAGATATGTGATAAAGATATATCTGTTTAACTCTATAGTGGGTGAAGAGTTATTAATTTGTTTATACGTGTGATGAAGGTTGCAAGTAATTTCTTTATATTTTTTCTTTCTTTTTCTTTTTTGCGCATTTTTTATTCTTGCTTTTCATTCTCTTTCTTTTTCTCTAAGTTTAGTTTGCATTAGTTTTAACTATGGCAATTAAATTTCTTAATAAAAATTATATTCAGAAGAGAAAAATTCTTGCAAGATAGTAAGAGCAATTATGTAGGAAAATTCTGCTCAGCAATATTCTAACAACAAAAAAGATAATTTTGGTAAGGCTCACCATAAATGGGATGCAGAAATCTAGAGGACAACAAGATGACAACAAATAGATACAGAAAATTGAATTAGATGTAGTTCTACAGTATAAGAACATTAACAATGAAAAATATTGAGTTTCTTGATTTCATTCTGTAAATAAATGAATCCTAACAGTTATTTACTTTACAGAAATACTTAATTTGTAATTTATTTTTTCCACTCTTTTATTCTCCAGAAAACAATTTCATTAGATAACAAATGGACAAAGACAATATTCAAGAAATCTGTCCCAATGAGTACTTACTTGGTAGCCTGGGCTGTGCACCAGTTTAAATATGAAGAAAGAATTTCATCTCGTGGAATTCCAGTAAGTTCTATGTTGGTTGTTTTTGCAATCTTTCTCAAGGACATTTTGCTTTGCAAAACCAAAAGCAAACAATAGTTTTACCAAAAGTCATATCCTAAGTAATTTTCCCATGCCTGGTTTCCTCTGTCTGCAAAAAGAGATCATATCGTTTTCTGCTAAATTGTTCTATTTCACAAAGATCTCTTACATCATGTTGTAAAGCTTTAGTAAAGACTTTGTAGTTTTGAAGCTTGCCTTTCTTCTAATTATGTAACTATGCTACATTTTGAGAAGATACTTGAAGCTATTTTTTTTAATCTAAGGATCTGAATGAAATAATGTATTGTTACATTGTTTCACAATAATGTCAAATAAAACTTCAACTAAATATAACACATTGTGGAGAATGTCCTAATAGTCATCTACCAGCCTTGAAAAGAAGCCACTCCCTTCTGGGAACCACCAAGCACACTACAGCCTATAGATATGTGTGGTGATCTGACACAGCAGATGGCAGCATTTAGACAGGTTTGACAAATCATCACCCCCTACCTACCCCCATCCCCCACTTCCACTAAGCAGACTCTGCCCTGCTTATTATTTGGATGGAGAAAGCAATAAGAAAGTCTAGCCAAGATTGAAAAAATGAGAAATATCTTAGAAGAAGGCAAAAACTATACAGGGATGTGCTCCTGGGAGCAACTGCGCTCTACTCAAAGGGATATTTATTTTAAATGCTTTGCATCTTTTCCAAAGGAGAACCAAGTCCTCATTTTAGCCTAAAAAATTCTGTATGACTGAGGTCCAGATATTTTCATGACACCTCCCTCCCCTTGAGAAACAAAGCTTCTCCCTGATGACATCTGCAGCCTTCCAAAAGAGAGCTACAATGGAATTCTTTGATGGGATCTTCAAGTTATTGTTTGCTTTCATGTGGATTAAGCTTAGTTACAATAATAAGGTTATTGTTGCTAATATTTTATTATCCAACTAATATTGTTGCTTGTTTTTTTAGAATAGAATATAGAATATTCTTTATTGGTCAAGTGTGATTGGACACACAAGGAATTTGTCTCCAGTGCAATAAGCTTTCAGTGTACATATAAACAACAAAGTGATAATCATAAATCATAAGATACAATCATAAATGATAAGATACAAACAACAAAGTGATAAATCATAAGATAACAATAGGAGAAAGTAATAGGAAAGATGATAATAGGATAGATAATAGACTTAATAGGACAATATTAATATTCATACAGACATAATAGAATACTTTTAAATTGGGTTTTATTTACTTTTGTTTTTATTTACTATATATTACAAGCCACCACAAGTTAGTATGAATTGGTAGCATACCTTTTGCTATTTCTAGTAGATGGCAATTACAAGTTTATTTGTCAAGGCTGTGATGGTTGCCATTTGGATGAAAAGATAAACAGTACCTTCCCTTTCAAATCAAATTTGATTCCATGTGACTTCATGCTATTGCTTAAAAGTTTGGGATCTCCTAATAGATATGTGTACAAGTGATGCATGCTGGTCATAGAAATGATAGAATAAGAGAGTTGGAAGAGAACTTGGAAGTCTTCTAGTCCGTTCCCTGCTTGAGCAGAAAACCCTATGCCATTCCAGACAAATGGCTGTCTTATCTCTTCTTAAAAAGAAGCACCCACAACTTCTGGAAGCAAACCGTTCCACTGATTAATTGTTCTCACTATTTGGAAATTTCTCCTTAATACCAGGTTGGATTTCTCTTTAATAATCTTCCCTCTGTTATTTCTTGTCCTGCTCTTAGGTGGTATGGCGAATAGATTGACCCCCCTCTTCTCTGTGACAGCCCCTCGAGTATTGTATATCATGTCATCCCTAGTCCTTCTCTTCACTAGATTAGACATACCTAGTTCTTCCATACTCTTTTTGCTTTTCATGTGGCAGATGAAAAATTGGCTAGAAACGAATCAGATTTCAGTGAAATAATAGGATAAACTTCCTAATATGTGACCTTACTTTGGAAGCTCTTTCAATATTAAAATAAAGACTATATAGAATGAAGCAGTTAAGATGATCCCCATAATCCTTTTCGCTTCCTTGATTCTTTACTCAAGACTATATTGAGCAAACATTTGCTATCTGAGACTATGTTTTCAGTTCAGTTCAGATCCACAGTTCTGAATCCAAATAAGCCCCACATTGTATTTTAAAGAATCTTGTTCTAGTAAATTACTCTAGTGCTTTGATATTGTATCTTACCAAATGTTGGCAGACAGTTCTTCATATTGTCAAAAGCAAGAATATACAATATTTGCAGCATTGACATTGGCTTTTTTTCCTTTAATGAAAATTATATTAACAGAAAAAAAATTATGCTGTATCTGAAGGCATGAAAGAACTCTCACAGTATCCAAAACATTTTGAACTTTACATAGAACTTTATATGATCTAGGGATATCTTGATATATTTTATGCTTGTACTAAATGCAAAATGTTGAGAACATAAGTTAATAAATAATCCACAAAGATAATTTTTATGAAAGTCCAAATTAGAAGAAGTAACCTGAACAAATGTGATATTATCTTTCTGATAATATCTTCTACATTGTTTTACAGCTACGCGTTTATGCCCAACCGCAGCAGATAAACACAGCCATCTATGCAGCAAATGTAACCAAGGTTGTATTTGATTACTTTGAAAACTATTTCAACATGAACTATTCTCTTCCAAAACTGGGTAAATTTCTATTCTTCCTTTTTAATGAATGTTAAATGTTTCTGGGTATGGTTCACACTTATTGTACGACATTGCCATGCTTTGGAAAATAATTTAAAATTGCAGTGTCAACAACTAATTGAGAAAGCTTATCATATCTCAATTGAATTGGATAGAATCTTCTTTAAGCAAGAATTTATAAGATTTTTAACATATTTTACGCGTTTGTGTAGATATTTTTATTTATAATTTTGTGACCATTCAATAAAGCACACTTTAGAAGTACTTTCAATAAATAAAATGGTTATTTTGAGAATGAAATAAGTGTTATCAAGTGCTGAATTAATTGTGATAGATATAAATATAATGGAACTAGACATTTATATCAGCTACCTGTTGAGAAACCCATGCTGAATAACAATAAACAAGAAATGGGGGTGTCAAGCTTTTTGGATCCAAAATTCTTGCTTTAAGCTTGTCAATCTGAGAAGCAGATTGATTTCTAAGCTGGAGCAGGTGGCAATATTGTATGCCATGCAAAGATTGTAGAGGTCCATCTCTTTCATTTGAACTAATACTGATTGTCTGCTATAAAGACATGCTCTAACATGTCATGATGAATAGAATCAGATATGGTTCATTATATGTGGATTTAGTTCATTAATTTATCAATAAATATTTCTGAGCCCCATTATCAAATCACTTTTCAATCTATAAAAATTGGTCTGGCTGAAGCAGTGAAAATTATTACTGTGTGTAGTGAAAGGTGGACAGATTGCCTGCTTACCACATATAGTACTCACAAATGAAGGCAAAATGTACGTCCCAAGAAATTTTGCAGGATCCAGTTTAGGTCGGTCATGGGACCAGAGGTTTAGTCTCTACCGGAAGAGGGAAGTTTCCTGCGGATGGGCTTCAGCACAAGTCCAAAAGTTCAGAAGACTAAACCTTTCTGATCCCAGTGACCAACCCAGATTGGATCCTGCAACACATAATACTACATTCAAAGCTGTGAATTTGATTGCAAAACACCGTTTCTCTATAGATAATGTACATTTTGCATCTCCCTTTTTGTATAATTAACTAATATGATTAAACAATTTACTAACAGTGATTTTCATCCCTTTTAATATGAAATTTACAATAATACCATGGAATGATTCACTTTCATTAAAGATGTAAGAGGTCCCATTGCTTGTTCTATGTTATATTTGCTCATGTGACATGTACGCTTCAGTTTAGGGTGAGGGTACTCAGCTTAGGTACAATGCTAAACACATATTGCCTGAATGAATTAATAACATTAGAGGTTAAGTTCATTATCAGTCTTGTCCTTTCATATGTATTTCTGGATTTCTGTGAAAGCAGATTTCTGAGATTTTGGTATGGATAGCTATAACAAACAGCCTTGCTATTTCTCACTTCGCTTGGTTAAAAAAAAATCTATGCAGACAAATCTCTTTTTTGAGATTCACATCTGAAAAACAATATATGTTTCTAAAACCTGTATCTAAAAAGCAATAGCTTAGCTTTAAATAGCTTGGACGAGCTATTTAAATGATCATTTACATTTTAAAATGACATCATTTAAATATTTGTTTAAGTTCTGCAGATTTAGAGAAAATTATATATAAAAGTTGTTGTATATTAGGGAAAACTATGAATGAAGATTTGTAATGGCAACTGGGAAATTACCCTAATGATTCGGACAGTAAAATGGATTAATTTTATACTGATCGTTATCATTGTCCTTATCTTCATTATAATATATAAATTGTTATAATTATATCATCGTTATCTTCTTTTATTGCCTCTCATGCTCTCTGTTCTTGTTGAACACATTCTACTTAAATCTCATTCAGTGATTGAGAAGATGAATAGATTGATGGACACATTTGTGGAGGGGTACCATATTTGATACATCAGTTGCAAGCTTTCAGTTATGTTCTCACCCTTAAATCTGTAGGCTTTCTTGAATGTTATGGAGGGTGGTGTCTAGTTGCTTGATGGAAAAGTAAACTGGAAGAGAATAGAATTGATTCATAAGTATTATCCTATCATACCTGGCACTGAGTTTTTGTGTTGGAAGCATACAAACACGCGTTATCAGATTGCTGAGAGCCAGTGGTGTGGTGACTGGAGGGAAATGAGAGTTTGAACACCTAAGTAAACATCTCTCTTGTTTCATTTAGACAAAATAGCAATTCCAGATTTTGGCACTGGGGCCATGGAGAATTGGGGACTGATCACTTATAGAGAAACTAATCTCCTTTATGATTCAGGAGAATCTGCTGCTTCAAACAAACAAAGAGTGGCAGCTGTGGTTGCCCATGAACTTGTTCATCAGGTATAGTTTGTTTGTTTGTTTATTAATTAAATTTCCATGCCACCCATCTCATTATGCAAAGTGCATCCGGCAAGAAGCTAAAGTACATTATTATATTCAAGGAAATTATAATGTGCTTATCCTATAAATAATTTTTGACAGGATTTTATCTGTTTCCTTCTGAATGATAAAATAATTAGGTTAATTTGATGTTTTGGATATATTTCATAAACAGATTTTATCTCATTCTTTATCAATATTTTATTTTTAAATGGGGCTTTATTGTTGGCAGTTGCTACAGCATAAAGCTGTAGCTATTCTTCAGTCTCTGTGTTATTCAGCATATATAAATCATGCTAAATTGTAAGAGTTGTGCTATTTATAAGGATTCTTTTCTCTTGTCCCTTCTTTTAACAAAGGAAGGTAAAATAAAAATGTGTGAAAAAAATTACACTGATTTCAACATTTCATCTTAGCGGCAGAATTTCTTTACCAAGATGGACAACTGCTTCCAACCAATATTTACAATACAAGCACTCATTAAAATTGCATCAAAATTAAAGTAAAATCTCACGTTTAACACTTGCCATTTTCAGATAAATATGTGTGCTTGGAGAGACCTCATTAGACTTTTAAAGGATAGCATTTATGATCCAGTGACAAACATTGTGTTTTCAAAATTATAGTCTCTTTTTATATTTTATCTGAAATATTTTTATCCACCTTTTGACAAAAAGCTTTCAAAGCAGGATATTTCAGCTAGAGGTTTATTATCATTTTTAAATGAAAATGCATTTCAAAAAGGCTGAATTGAGGTGTCAATATATGACTGAAAAGGAGTAGTTGTTTCCCAAACTGTTCTGACGATATCTTGAGTAGTTCAGTTGCTTTGAGTTATGATTGTGTTTTTTCAGACAAATCATTATTACAACTAGAGCTGCCAAGTTTCTCTTGGTAATATATATCTTCAATATATACTTATACAATATATATACTCCAAATACTGAAAATGGAAACGAAAAAAACCTGGGGCTCCTTATAGTTATAGTTAAGATAAAACAAGATGTTCATGAACATAGAAGGAAGTTATGCTGATTCCCAATATGATAAAAATTTATGCAAATGCAGTCAACATTTAGCAAAACTGGTTGGAATCAGGAAAACATAAAACTTTAATAATAAAGCACCATAATTATAGCTGCTCAACATATGGGCAAGTTAGGATGGTTTAGGTTGGTATTTGAGAAGAGAAAGCAAGAAATTTTCATTTCAAATGATAGAATTTTGCCCCCAAGAATATCCAGTTCTCAGTTATTACCCATCTAAATACAAAACTGAAGTTGGAAAAAACTGGATTTTTGAACTGCAGTTTATGTTGCCTTTGTGTTACTTTCCATCAAACTAAGAAAATCTCTTGCACAATATCTAAACACTCTGCTATGGATGATACATTTCTCTTTCTATTCACCTTTCCTAATGCTCTTTGCTTTTTTTTTTTACTTATTATAGTGGTTTGGAAATATTGTGACCATGGATTGGTGGGATGACTTATGGCTAAATGAAGGATTTGCCAGTTTCTTTGAGTTTATGGGTGTAAATGCTACAGAAGAAAAATGGCAAATGGTAAGAATTCTTATCTTTGTATAATTATAGAATATGAACAAAGGAAGTATTACTCATGTTTATGGACATTTTAGCCCAATAATTTTGTTAGAATAGAATAGAATAACGGAGTTGGAAGGGACCTTGGAGGTTATCTAGTCCAAAACCCTGTTTAGGCAGGAAACCCTATAGGATTTCAGTGAAATGGTTGTCCAATCTATTCTTAAAAACTTCCAGTGCTGGAACATTCACAACTTCTGGAGGCAAGTTGTTCCACTTTGTTTGAATTTTTTCCCAAAAATACAACGGGCTGCCTGAAATCAATTTTGAAGCACCTTTGGCCTAGGTGGTTCTAAAATGGCAGTTAGTTTGGATTCAGCAGGGTGAATCCCAGAATCCCATGTTCTGCTCCCCAACCACTGATTTCTAGTCTTTTTAAATGGTCTACAAGGAGAAAGCCTCAGAAAGGAAAGTAGCTCACGTTTACCAGAATTGGGTCCCTAATACAGGAAAATTAAGTCCTGAGTACTAATTGGTTCCAGTTTCCAAGACACGGCTTCAGGTCAAAATTGCATCAAAATAATTCAAAATTACTAGGGGAATGTGAGATTATGCGCCATACTTTTTCTGCAAAGTGTGATGTAACAATGAGAATGGTACCTCACTGATCATTATAATTTTTTTTTTATGCCAATAACTAACTTTCCATTCATCTATTGGTTTTTCATGTAACATTTTCATGCTTTTTGCATGAAAAACTGACAAGCTTAACATCAGATTAAACAACAAGGCTCCATCTTTATTTGGTATCTAAACTGCACTTTTTGGCTTTTCTCTTGTGAACTGCAGTAGGATCAGCCCTGGGGAGATTCCAGCAGTAATCAGCAAGCATGGAAGGACTCCATTTCCCCTGGTATCTTTTCTCCATGCTTGCAATATCTTGGTGGAATCTCTCCCCATCACTCTGCAAGAGGTTCCACTGTTGTAATCTGGAGCCCAGTAACTCTGCCTTACTCTTAGGCAATTCCAAATTCCTGACCAGGTCATTTAGTTCACTCTGTGAAATTAGATGTGGTTCAGGAGGAGCGTATGGTGGGCTAAAGATTCGACGGCCCCAGGTCAGCTGCATCCTGCTCATCGTCTTTATCATCATCTGAGTCTAGAGAGCAGGATTCTGGTGGATCTGGAATTGGCAAGTCCCCACCATGGGGTCCAGGACGCCGTGTGGATGGAATGCTTGGATATTCCACGGTCCACTTCTTCTTTCTTGAGATTCCTTTTGCAATTGGGGGAACCATGCAAAAATAGCAGTTGCTACTATGATTGGTGAGTTCCCTCAACACCATTGGGACTGCAAAAGGCATGGACTTTTTTTTCTTGTTTAGCCAATAATGCAGATAAGTTGCATATGTAATGCAACGATAATGAGTGGCCCAACTCTTATCCTGATCCCCTATTTTGCATCCAAAATATAGATAGTATGCCTTTTTTTTTTACCACTGCCATCATACTGCACTTTTGAGATGCAAATGGAACCGCGCCACAAATGTAGCAGAAGTTATCTGCATTGTTTACACAGTTTCGAGGCATCTTGGCTTCTAAGGAAAAATATCATACAACTGTTCCTTGGAAATGTGAGAGAATGACACTTTCACAAGCCACTAGATGTAACTGTATGGTGTGTAGATCTGACCAAGACAAATGTACCTTGGAATAAATTACAGTTAGATAATAATCTTTACTCTCAAAGTGAAGATAAATTTATACACAATGGTACAATGTGGTACCATTTTCATTGTTCTACCATACTTGTCAAGAAGTTACAAGGCATCATGATTATTAGACACCTCCCTCCCTTGTAGGCAAATATACTCACCTGTGTATAAATCTTTATTGTGAAATACCTTGAAAACTTTAGCCAACCAGCACCTTTATCACCCATTTTCTAATTAATCAAATTAAAATATGTAATTGTAACACATTTTCCCCTTTATGGATTACTGCCTTGTCGTGGCAAAGGGGCTTGTGTAACTCAATGAAGCTATAAGCTATGTCGTGCAGGGCCACCCAAGACGGACAGGTCATAGCAGAGAGTTCTGACAAAATGTGATCCACTGGAGAAGGAAATGGCAAACCACTCCAGTATCTTTGCCATGAAAACCCCATGGACAGTACTAAAAGGCAAAAAGATATGACGCTGGAAGATGAGCCCCTCAGGTCAGAAGGTATCCAATATGCTACTGGGGAAGAGCAGAGGGCTAGTACTAGTAGCGCCAGAAAGAATGAAGTGACTGGGCAAAGCCGAAAGGACGCTCAGCTGTGGATATATCTGGTGGTGAAAGGAAAGTCCGATGCTGTAAAGATTTTTTCTCCATAGAAACCTGGAATGTAAGATCCATGAATCAAGGCAAGCTAGACATAGTCAAAAAAGAGATGACAAGACTGAACACCGACATCTTAGGAATCAGCGAACTAAAATGGACAGGAATGGGTGAATTTAACTCAGATGACCATCAGGTATACTACTGTGGGCAAGAATCCCTCAGAAGAAATGGAGTAGCCTTCATAGTCAATAAAAGAATAGGAAAAGCAATACTGGGATACAATCCCCAAAATGACAGAATGATCTCAATTCGAATCCAAGGCAAACCATTCAATATCACAATAGTCCAAATCTATGCCCCAACCACTGGTGCTGAAGAGGATGAAATTGACCGGTTCTATGAAGCCCTACAGCACCTTATAGAATTAACACCAAAAAATGATGTTCTTATCATCATGGGGGATTGGAATGCTAAGGTAGGAAGCCAAAAGATAACCGGAATAACAGGCAAGTTTGGCCTTGGAGTACAAATGAAGCAGGGCACAGGCTGATAGAATTTTGTCAAGAGAATACGATGGTCATAACAAACACTCTTTTCCAACAACCCAAGAGACGGCTCTACACATGGACATCACCAGACGGTCAACATAGAAATCAGATTGACTATGTGCTCTGCAGCCAAAGATGGAGAAGCTCTATACAGTCAGTAAAAACAAGACCAGGAGCTGACTGTGGCTCAGATCATGAGCTTCTCGTTGCAAAATTTAGGCTTAAATTGAAAAAAGTAGGGAAAAGCACTAGGCCACTCAGGTATGAACTAAATCATATTCCTGATGAATATACAGTAGAGGTGACAAATAGATTTAAGGAATTAGATCTGATAGACAGAGTGCCTGAAGAACTATGGATGGAAGTTCACAACATTGTACAAGAGGTAGCAACTAAAACCATCCCAAAGAAAAAGAAATGCAAGAAAGCAAAATGGCTGTCTGAGGAAGCTTTGCAAATAGCTGAGGAAAGAAGGGAAGCGAAAGGCAAAGGAGAAAGAGAAAGATACACCCAATTGAATGCAGAATTCCAGAGAGTAGCTAGAAGAGATAAGAATGCCTTCTTAAATGAACAGTGCAAAGAAATAGAAGAAAACAACAGAATAGGGAGGACCAGAGATCTCTTCAAGAAAATTGGAGATATGAAGGGAACGTTTCATGCAAAGATGGGCATGATAAAGGACCAAAATGGCAGAGACCTAACAGAGGCAGAAGAGATTAAGAAGAGATGGCAAAACTACACAGAAGAACTATACAAGAATGAGCTTAACATCCCAGATAACCACAATGAGATGGTCACTGACCTCGAACCAGACATCCTAGAATGTGAAGTGAAATGGGCCTTAGAAAATCTGAGCAACAACAAAGCTAGTGGAGGTGACAGTATTCCAGCTGAGCTATTCAAAATCTTAAAAGACGATGCAGTAAAAGTGCTACACTCAATTTGCCAGCAAATTTGGAAAACTCAACAGTGGCCACAGGATTGGAAAAGGTCAGTTTACATTCCAATTCCAAAGAAAGGCAATGCCAAAGAATGTTCAAACTATCGCACCATTGCACTCATTTCACATGCTAGTAAAGTTATGCTTAAAATCCTACAAGCTAGACTCCAGCAGTATGTGGATCGAGAACTACCAGAAGTACAGGCAGGATTTCGAAGAGGCAGAGGAACTAGAGATCAAATTGCCAACATACGCTGGATCATGGAGAAAGCTAGGGATTCCAGAAAAACATCTACTTCTGCTTCATTGACTATGCTAAAGCCTTTGATTGTGTGGATCACAACAAATTGTGGCAAGTTCTTAAAGAGATGGGAATACCAGACCATCTTATTTGTCTCTTGAGAAACCTATATGCGGGTCAAGAAGCAACAGTGAGAACTGGACACGGAACCACTGATTGGTTCAAAATTGGAAAAGGAGTCCGGCAAGGCTGTATACTGTCGCCCTGCCTATTTAACTTATATGCAGAGCACATCATGAGAAAGGCAGGGCTAGATGAATCAAAAGTTGGAATTAAGATTGCCGGGAGAAATATCAACAACCTAAGATATGCAGATGATACCACTCTAATGGCAGAAAGTGAAGAGGAACTAAAGAGCCTCTTGATGCGGGTGAAGAAGGAGAGTGCAAAAGTTGGCTTGAAACTCAACATTAAGAAAACCAAAATCATGGCATCCGGCCCTCTCAATTCCTGGCAAATAGATGGGGAAGAAATGGAGGTAGTGACAGATTTTATTTTTCTGGGCTCCAAGATCACCTCAGATGGGGACTGCAGCCAAGAAATTAAAAGACGCTTGCTCCTGGGGAGGAAAGCTATGGCAAATCTAGACAGCATACTAAAAAGCAGAGACATCACCCTGCCAACAAAAGTGCGTATAGTCCAGGCCATGGTTTTCCCAGTTGCAATGTATGGCTGTGAAAGTTGGACCATAAGAAAGGCTGAGCGCCAAAGAATTGAGGCCTTTGAACTATGGTGCTGGAGAAGACTCCTGCGAGTCCCTTGGACTGCAAGGCGTTCAAACCGGTCAGTCCTAGAAGAGATCAACCCGACTGCTCTTTAGAAGGCCAGATCCTGAAGTTGAAACTCAAATACTTTGGCCACCTAATGAGAAGGAAGGACTCACTGGAGAAGGGCCTAATGCTGGGAAAGATTGAGGGCAATAGAAGAAGGGGACGACAGAGAATGAGATGGCTGGATGGAGTCACTGAAGCAGTAGGTGTGAACTTAAATGGACTCCAGAAGATGGTAGAGGACAGGAAGACCTGGAGGAACGTTGTCCATGGGGTCGCGATGGGTCGGACACGACTTCGCAATTAACAACAACAAACACATTTTATCTTAGAGGTTGATAATTTCCCAAAATTTGTAGACAAGTAGTATAATGCTGATCTTAGAATACTGATCATTGTTGAAAATCAGCCTATATTAGGGAATACTTAGTAGGATTATTCTTCTCAGTAGTCCATCCAAGATTAAAGAAACAGACATTTTCACCGACTTGTTGACTCTCCAGCATGGACTTGGATGTTTGTTGTTTTATAGAATAATGTAGGAAAGGGATAATAGAATCTGACTGTAGAGTGAAAAGGGGGATCAGCCTAGAATTCCTACATAGCCACAAGAGAACTAGGTCCAACCTCCCCCCCTTAAGTGCTGTTTATTCTTATCTAACTCTAAGCAGGTTGCCAACAGCTCATTGAGAAGATTCCTGTGAATAGGATTTTATCTATAAATCAGTTTAATTGGACCTCCTCTCCAATAGACTCTAATAGCCCTCCAACTACATCAGGGGTGTCAAACTGCCGGCCCACGGACCGGATGCGTAATGCAGGAGCCGCGCCCACCCATTGCCAGCAATGGCAAAACTCTCCCGATATGTTGTGCAACCTCACGTGACGTCACGTGTTTGACTTGTCTGAATTACATGGACTTCAGAAATCTCATAAGTGACCATACTTACTAAGGAATTTTGAGAATTAAAAGTATCAAGGCTGCTCTAAAATATTGATAAAAATATTCCTTTCTAATAATTTAAATAACCTGCTAAATATTAAGTATTGCTGCTCAACAGGAGATAGCTATTAGCTGACCTTATTTGAGTCAAAAACAAGGCAACATAAGGTTTGATTAATACTTAATTGAGAAGATACTAAGCCCTCAGGGCTGTAGGCTAAATGAAACATCCTGGGAAAAAACAGTGGCAAACTACTTTTCAATTGCTGCCAAATAAACTGAATGTTTTTGTCTTTTTTAATAGGAGTTCAGCCTCTGAAGTATTTTTGTTTTTTGCGGGATAGGTTTCATCAAGTTATTTAGCTCTGAAATTTATAACTGGGATGTCCAACCTTGACAATGTTAAAGCTTGTGGACTTCAACTTCCAGAATTCCCTAGCCAGCTCTTCTGGCTGGTGAATTCTGGGAATTGAAGTCCACAAGACCTAAAGTTGCTAAAGTTGAATGCCCTTGATTTAGAAGCTTCCTTGAGTTATCAAACTTGATGGTAGAAAAACAGCTTGACCAAATATTAGTTGTTTTATAATGTGTATTGATTATACATATGATAGATATATTTATTAAAAAATAGGTAAAATTCTAGAGAATCAAGAAAGTGAGCTGCAGTAACTATTTCTTTGCTCACTATCCTGTTAATTAGCTATCAGTCCAAAACTCCTTTTATCCTATGATAGATTAGATTGACATTTGGCAAGATTGTATTTATGTTAATCATTTTTCATGTATTAGCCTGTTTTTAGCTAATTAAGTAAATCATTTGGGGTAATAATCATGTTTTTCCACTCAACTCTTTCTTCTTCACAGCTGGATCAAATTTTAATTGATGACCTACTGCCAGTGCTGAAGGATGATTCTTTGGTTTCATCTCACCCAATTACGGCGAATGTGTCTTCTCCTGATGAAATAACATCTGTATTTGATGGCATATCCTACAGCAAAGTAAGAGCTTAAGTTTCCCCATATAATTGGGAGAAAAGAAGTTAAACATCTCTGAACTGTTTTTTCATCTTGGGGGAAAATCCAGGAGATGAATCTTGTGGGATTATATTTTACATTTCCATATATGTGTATATCTGCACTATGTGGTATTACACTCAGAGGCAGGAGAGATGGAGAACATGCTTTCCTTAAATAGTAGAGGAACACAATACAAGTAGTCTTTCAACCTACAATCACAATTGAGACCAGAATTTCTGGTTGCCAAGCCCCAAATTTTGATCACATGACCATGTGGATGCGGTGATAGTTGTAAATGCAAGTACTGATTGTAACTCACTTTTTTCAGTTATTATACTGAAACTGTTTATAAAGTATTTGGGGTAATAATTACAAAATTGTGATATCCTGCACTGTAATTTTCATCACTTAGTGGTTTGCAAGAGCACAGTTGCCTAAGTCAACATATATTATATGAAGTGGCACACCGGAAATAGTTAAGATTAGATAAATTAATCATTATCTTTGTACTGGTGTACAAAGACTTGTGTATATGGTTCCTACCTGTTGATTCTTTTATAGGGTTCTCTGGGTTTCTCTATAGTGCATCAAAAATGAATGATACTAAGATGAAAGTGGCCTTATCTCTTTGCAATAGCCATGCGTTCATATCACTACTGCCCTATATAATTCAGGGAAAGTGGCTATTTAAATGGAATTTCACTTTTATAGTCAGCCTCTTGAATATATATTTGGAACTTTCATAGTCAAACTCAAGGAATGAAAAAAAGAAGGAAATGGTCTGAAATTTACAACTGATAATGGGATTACCAGTTATGAAATTTATGTGATGCAACCTTCACCTTTGCTTGCACAGTGGTATTGTTCTGGTCCAAATCATATAAGCTTTACTCATGACCAGGCACAAATCACCAGTTGTGTTAGCTGGATCATCCACATATATTTTTAAAGGCTGAAGTCACACATCTGGATTGAATTGTGGCAAACAAAGTTGTCTGCAATCTATTTGTAAATTAGGAAGTTGTCTTGTATCAAATCAGAGTGTTACTCTACTTCTGTCAGTGTTGTCTAGTTTGATTATTAGCAGATCTCCAGAATCTCTAACTTGGCAATGCCAGTGATTGAACTTGGGACCATCAGTATGCAAAGCATGTTATTTGCTACTGAACTTTGACACTTTTCTCACTGGATTGCTTCAAGTTGGAATGGTAATGGGAAAACAAAGCCACTGACCGTAATAAATGTGTAAGTTGGCACAAATGACATGAATCAGCATGCCAAATGGAGCTGACTCATGTTTATCAGAAAATATCTTCACTTTACGCCAATAAATCCTCAATTTTCCAAATGTTTTCTTCCCACTTCTGATTTTCTGTCCCTCTTTCTTAGGGTGTGTTTTAGTTTCTTTTTGTGGTGCTTGTACTTACTGAAGGCTATAAGGTATCAAGAAAGGTATTTCTGTTATTTTCTGTTCCACGTCTTTCTGTGATCCTGAAGTTTCCTTGGCTGTCCCCACATCCCAATCTTCTAAATCTCCACAGAAGGATGATTCTCACGATACCCTCATCTGAGGTTTAATTGAAATGTGGAAAGTCAAGGAACTTGTAGACATCTGGGAAGATCATTGTACGAGTGAAAGACAATACATTAATCTGTACATAGACATATGCTCACTTGTTTAGAATAATTCTGTCCATCAATGAGAATTGCATTAAAATGTTCTCCTTAGAACTGAAGTCAAAGTTGAAGCAATCTTCATCACAGTATTAATATTCACAAGTAACTGTTAAAATCATTCTGAACAAAACTATGTGTGTGTGCTGCCTTTTATTGACACCTATCTAGTAAGTCTGGAAACTACAAAACTTCAACAGACCATGGGGTTTTTTGGTCAATATTCTCCAACATGTAAAAGAATCAATGTGAAGCTACAAAAATCCAAAAAGAGCTTGAATTGAGCAATTTGGGGCTGAATACTTTTATATTATATCTACTAGTATAAAGACAAGTAGTTATATTAAGATTTCAACAAATGGCTAGGAAAGTTTGGCTAATTCTTGGTTATATTTAGTCTCAGACAGGGAGTTTACACAATGCAAAGAGTAACTAATACTACGTTTGCGTTTCTCGATTGCACAGAAATAGAATATACATCACCAGTGTGTATTATTCAGGCAGACTGACACAGTTTGCTTGTTCATTTGGTTTTTTGAACACCTTGAATATGGTATATGGAGTACTATTTATCAATATTATCAAATCTCTGTATCTAGGGAGCGTCAATTCTCAGAATGCTTGAAGACTGGATCTCACCAGATCACTTCAGAGCTGGATGTCAGGTATAAGTTCTGATGAATAGGTATAAGTTCTTATTAATAATTTGAGCTGTATATATTTCCCTGGGAGTAATTATTAAACTACATATTTCTCTGGAAGAAGTTATTGGATTTTAGTTTTGAATTAACAGATTTGGAGGATTGGGTTTGAATTAGGGGTTGGGATAATCTTCCCTAACCTAGGGCCTTTCATTTAAGTTTGGATTAAAGGACCCAGAATTCTTTTTTTAAATAATAATTTTATTAAAAATTGTAATTACAATACAACAATACAACAAAGAAAAAGAAAATAGAAGGTGCAGAAAAGAAAAATGAATAAAGAAATGAGTTTCCTTATAATCCCAAGTATAAACAATTTTAGTAATTTATCACTCTTAAAATACAACTAATGATCTATTCTTCCCTTATCCCATCTCTTATTGATAATCAAATGAAGCCTCATAATTTCAATCCAAATGTGAGCAAAAGTTTATCAAGGAATACCACAATTGACAACAAATCTATTTTAACCTTTATATTCCTTCCTTTTTATTTGTCAGAATCTTGACCTTTAGTCTTTTCAAACAACGTTTTAGAACAGACATGTCAAACTAGTGACATCACATGACATCACGTGATGTGTCAGAACTTTTTCCCCATTGCCGGCAATGGGGTGGGCGCGGTTTCCTTGTGATGCATCCAGCCCACGGGCTGGCAGTTTGACACCCCTGTTCTAGAATGTGATTTCATTCTCCCTTTGTCCCTTCAAATTTTTAACAAACCTTTTTTGTAAATTCAATATAGAAAAATTATCCTACTTAATTTTGGTTTACTTGCCAGTTCTTCATTCCACCATGGTCAGGGACTTGTCTTCATTCCATGATTTCTTAGCTGGCTGTTCATCCTTATCTCTTTTTAAAATAATTCCTATTGAAAATTTTTAATTAAGTAGAAAAAATGAGAAATATATAAAAGAAGGAATAAGAGAAAAAGAAAAAGTGCAAGAAACAATACAGTTAAAAGAAAACAAATAAAAAAGATAATTAAAGAAGTGACTCCTGGCCTTCATTACATCAGTTATTACTCTTCTCCCTTGTCAACATAACTATAAACCCCTCATCCTCCTGAAAAACTTTTTTCTCTGCATGATCCCCACTATTCATGGATATGTGTTAGTCTGCCATGTTTCCACCCTGAATATATATATATATATATATATATATATATATATATATATATATATATATATATATATATATGAGTACTAGTTGAATAAAAAATTGTTTAAAAGAAAGAACACACATCAGGCTACCACATGCTGCCTACCTTATAGAAGAGCATTAGTTTGGTAGAGATGGAATTGAGATCAAAGTAGTTAAGGTTTCAGAGCCCACAATAATATTGTCATAATTGCTAGTTGAGGAATAATGATTGTGCAAGCAGTTCTTTACCTTCTGCACTTGATCAAGTTGCAGTTGGTTGCATATTTGATCTGTACTTTGATTCAAGCTAGGAATAATCGTGTAAACTAACTTCATGAAAGCATCAAAGTGTGAGTGAGACAAACAGTGCCATCTATTGTTCTAATGCAGCACATTCAAATGTGTAGGAAGAGCCAAGAAAAACATGATTTATCAAGCCATACTTCTAAAGTATCAGACCAAGAGATAATTTCTGGAATATATCAACTATGTCTAAAATGAAAAGAGCTTGAGACTACACAGAGCTGTGGATGTTTTTTCCTGCACAGCCTCTATTTTCCTGCTGGCATGTAAATTAGGTCAAATGCATGTATATGAATATGTATGTATATATATATGTATATGTATATATATATATATATATATATATATATATATATATATATATATATATATATATATATATATATATAGTGTGTGTGTGTGTGTGTGTGTGTGTGTGTGTGTGTGTGTGTGTGTGTGTGTAGATATGTGTGTGTGTGTGTGTGTGTGTGTGTGTGTGTGTGTGTATTAAAAATAATACTAAAAATGAAAGAATAATTCCTGGGTGTATGCATATTAGGAAATAAAACGTGAGCACCAGGAAGAGTTAAAACATTAAAAGTTTTATAAAACGTTAAAAGTTTAAATATAAAACAGGTCTGCTTTTTAAAAACTTTTAAATTTTTTATATTTAAACTTTTAACGTTTTATAAAACTTTTAATGTTTTAACTCTTCCTGGTGCTCACGTTTTATTTCCTAAGCAATCCAACTGCTCCAGTTTTTCCCACAACATCCTCCACACCTTTTGAGATAGGCTAGGCTGAGGAATGGTGACTAACCCCAAAATTTTGATGAGCTTTAGGGCTGGAGAGGGACTTGAATTTTGCTATTTCTTCTCTGGTTTATCATCTTATCCATTAAACCATATGAGCTCCGACAAAGAGAAATATATCCTTTTGAATTATAACTATCAGTCTCAGCATGACCATTCAGAGCACAGCCATTATAACTTTCAATCACAGCACGACCAAGATAGTGTCTTATCAAGTCTAGCGTATTTCATGTCCTTCAAGTCTCTACGGGAGGTATTGGAGGAGCCATGTCCTCCATCCCCCCCACAAAGTGAAGAGAACCTTGTCCCAAAGGTTCATTTTTTCAAAAGGCCACTGGACTTTTATTGGTTTAGAACTGAACCTAGAAGAACTGAATAAGCGTCTTGGATGAGAAGCAAAATGTTTTCAAAGGGAAAAAAACCCCAAGAAAGTCCAGTTGCCTTTTGAAAAAAAGTACCTTTGGGACAACCTGGAGCAGGGGTAGTCAACCTTGGCTCTTTTATGACTCATGGACTTCAACTCCCAGAATTCCTGAGCCAGCACAGCTGGCTCAGGAATTCTGGGAGTTGAAGTCCACAAGTCATAAAAGAGCCAAGGTTGACTACCCCGATTGAGAATCTCTACAGACAAAAGAGGAGGAAGGTTTTACTGACTTTCTTGAACTCAGTTATTAACCTGAAGCAGAAATACAGGTCATCCTCAACTTACAATCACAACTGAATCCAAAATTTCAGTTGCTAAGTGAGACATTTGTTAAGTGAATTTTGCCCCATTTTATGACCTTAGTTGTTAAGTGAATCACTGTAGTTGTTAGGTTACTAACACAGTCGCTAAGTGAATCTGGCTTCCCCATTGACTTTGCTTGTCAGAAGGTCACAAAAGGGGATCACATGACCCCGGGACAATGCGATCGTTGTAAACATGAACCAGTTGCCAAGCATCTCAATTTTGATCACTTGAGTACAGAGATGCTGCAGCAGTTGTAAATGCAAAAAATAGTCATGTCACTTTTTTCAGTGGTGTTATAACTTTGAACAGTCACTAAACAAGTTGTTGTAAGTCTAGGATTATCTATAGTGATGGAATCTTCTTTGCCATCCAGCAGAGTCTTATCACTTGTGGCTCTGTGGGTAAAAACTGCCACATGATAAATATATGTACCTTTAATCAGCCTTTATATTTTTAGTAGACATAGGACAACCATAAAGAGCATCCCATTCAGCAGAAGTTATTTCCATGCACAATTCTTGTCAAGCTAACCTCTTTTGTTTAAAAGCTGACCTCAGGTAGAAATTCAACAAGGGGAAAAAAATAAGTTAGAAACAAAAGTGCTAGGCAGGAGGGTGTTGTGTGTAGAGAAGAGGCAGAGAACACTTAAAAGACAATTCAGCAAAAACACAGCTGTTCTCTGACAATAAAATCCACACTCCAAATCTTGCATGTCTGCAGGATCTGCTCATTGGCCCCTGAAAGCAAGTTCCAATGCTTTTGAAAGGACAAATCTATTCTTTATTCAGCAGTGACATTGAGACTCAGCAGTTTTTAGCCTGACAAACATATTGGGCTGTTCATTTTGGCAAAGAGATGAGAAAGAACAAGAGAGAATTCTAGTTGTGTTCTTTTTTTGGGGGGTTGTTTGTTTACCTACGTAGTGTGCTTAGATTATAAATTCCTGTCTTGTTTAATGGATGAGGGACTTATTTTAAGATCTGTGTTCTTGAATAATTGAAATAGAAGGTGAAACAGAGTATTATGAGAGCAATCCACTTTACCTAAATAGCTTTCATTTAGAGAAATAATTAAGGTCAATGAAAGTTGCATTTCTAACTATGTTAAACCAAGGACATTTTTTTAAATTCAGGGCTTTTTTTTCATCTTGAGAACTTTTATGAAAAATATATATATAATTGTAAATTATTTATTTTGCATCCTGTAAACTGGATGCTTAAAAACTCAACATTGTACACCCATATCCTATATATCAGAGTGGAAACTTATAGCCCTCTGAATCTTCTTTGGTGTTTTAGATAGGATTAATTGCCCTGAAGCTTTAAAGTCACAACTGGAATTGTTTAGAAAACAATTGAACACTAGCCACTTATTTGGCTGCCTCTGTGATGTGCTTTATCTGCGTACTTGTATAGAGTTTGTACGCTGTACCAAGCTATGCACCATGATCAAAGAGTGATCTGGAGGATGACAAGTTAAAGAAAGATGTTCTGATAGCAATCAATATAACTTGTTACGGGAAATGCTAATGTTGCTAATGAATTTGCAACCCTACGTAATAACTTTCTCTTCTCCCACAGAAATACCTAATAGACCATTATTTTAAAAATGCAAAAACAGATGATTTCTGGATAGCAATGGAAGAGGTATGTTTGCTTTATCCCCAGTAAGTTCACACTTTTGACCAATAGCATCTGAGCTTGCATCAGAGAAGAAATAATATTTAACATTAATCATGCTTTTCATATTGTTGTGGCGGCACAATTAGGAAAAGACAAGAAGAGCACCAATGAATTAAAGAACTATGAATTAATGAGTCTAATAACAATTTGCAGCTTTTTTGTGTGCACTTCTCTTCCAATTACCAAAATTCTCTGGGTAGATTTGTAAAGTAAACAAACTGAAATAGCAAAGCAAGATTCAAAGAAAAAGTACCAAAGATTGAGCCTCAATTATGCTATAACCTTTATATTGGGGTACTAACCAAATACAAAGTTTGATTGGAGGACCAAATGATTATCTTAAAAATACTCTGAGAAGCCAATCAAAAGAAAGAAAAATGTGCATTAGCAGACGATGTGCCACCAAAACTCCAGCTACAATTTAATATCAGTTTGTCGCAAATAAATGAATTGCTCAAAAACCTCCAGGAAAATTGATATAATCTCTACTTTTGATGTGGAAGAGTTTCCCGGCATGACCATCTATTCTTGTTTTTAGGTAAGTGGGAAGCCTGTCAGAGAAGTGATGGACACATGGACCAGGCAGATGGGTTATCCTGTGCTGAAAGTTGCTTTAAACTCAACAGTCACACAGCAACGTTTTCTATTGGATCCCAAAGCAGATCCCTCCAAGCCATCTTCTCAATTTAGGTATCTTCTGTCTAACATTTTGATATGATATTGCTAGACCGGGGAAATTTGTTTTCTCAATGATCTTCACCAAATTCTTTTCACATAGATAACTGATATAATAAAATTGTTTAGTTGATTCTTATATTAGGACTGGAGAACCTATGAAGCTTCTGATGTAGCTGTGGTGTAACTTCTATTTTTATGCTAATGGGTAACTGGAATTAATGGACTTTGGAGCCCAACATCTTCAGAACATATTGCCAATCTTTACCTTAGTTAATTGCAGCAAAACTATTTATCTCCCAAATTAACCATGATTTGGTTCACAATCAGTGAAATTGATCAATTAATGCATTAATTTCAGTAACTTGATTAGTCATTGCTTTGCTGGGAATTTATTCATTCCTCAATGACAGAGTATATGTTTGCGTTCTGAATATCCCTAAAGGAAAGCAGCTACCAAGTCAGTTTAAATAAAACTGAATTTGATGGGCAGACAGGTTAGGACAGTAAAGGCAGCCTCCTACATCAGGGCTGTTCAACCTTTTTCACCCATTGTACCACTTTTAGGATATGGCAACATCCGAGTACCATCAGTTGCTAGCAAGGTGTCAAAAACTTGATGACCCAAAAAAAAGGGGGGGGAGTGATAAAGTACAGACAGTCCTCAACTTACAACAGTTCGCTTAGTGACTGTTTGAAGTTACAATGGCACTGAAAAAAGTGGCCCCGAAGCCACAGCTGAGTAAGACACCTGCCTGCCCGCCAGGTGGCGCTCTTCCTCCTGTCCGAGGTTTCCATTGTTGTGAGCATTTCTGTTGAGGTTGGCAGCGGGGCTGGGGTGGGTGGAGTTTGATTTTTATTCCCCCCGTCTGCTGGGTGGTTGCAGCAGGTTTTGGTCACTTCACATGACCCTAGGACACTGTGACCGTCATAAATATGAATCAGTTGCCAAGCTTCTGAATGTAAATCACAAGACCCTGGAGATGCTGCAACATTCCAGCTGATCGGCGCTTCTGGGCTCAGCTGGAGCCTGGCACTGATCCTGGTGCTTCCACTGAGCCCTGACAGCCCCGAAGAAGCGCCAATCAGCTGGAGCCTGGCGCTTCCACTGAGCCCTGACAGCCCTGCAGCTCCAGCCGTCTCTTGCTCAGACTTGTGCGGTGCTGCCACCGGTTCAGCCCATTCCCTTCCCCCGCTACCACCTTTCCAGGATGGTCGCCTGGTGCCAATGTACCACAGGTGGTACCCGTACCACTGGTTGAAAAGCCCTGTCCTACATTGCTGGAACTGTTACTAATTTCTATAGCTGAACCTGAATATGCAAGTAGTCCTCAACTTACAACCACAATTGAACCCAAAATTTCTGTTGCTAAGCGAGACAGTTGTTAAGTGACTTTGCCCCATTTACGACTTTTCTGGCTGCAGTTGTTAAGTGAATCACTACAGTTGTTAAGTTAGTAACACAATTGGAAAGTCAGTCTGGCTTCCTCAATGACTTTGGTTGACAGAAGGCTACAGAAGGTGATTACGTGACCCCAGGACCCCTGGACCCCTGGGACCCTGCAACTGTCATAAATATGAGTCAGTTGCCAAGCGTCCAAATTTTGATCACGTGACCATGGGGATGCAGCAATGGTCCTAAGGGTGAAAAATGGTTATATTGAAGTAAATATTCTAACCAGGAAGACCACAGATGTTTTTATATTATATAACAAATGGTGGCATGATTCATTATAAAAATTCTTAAAAATATGTCTTTCTGAATTTTCAGTTACAAGTGGAATATTCCAGTGAAATGGAAAGAGGGGAATACATCAAATATAATAGTCTACAATAAATCAGAATTAGCAGGTAATCGGAGCTAATGGATAGTAACTATTCACAAAGTAAATATTTCTTTGAATCACATACCATTGCTTTCCTTTTCTCAAGTTCCAGTCTCTCCTGTAGGGTGGAATTCCTTGGTGAGGTCCCATTTAGGTATAACCAGGCCAAATCCAACTTAGTTTCCAAGCCTATACAAATCAGAGTAAACGGCATTGACTTAATAGGAATTTCTTTTGAAAGAGCAAGGTGGCCCAAAAGAATTCACCATCTAGATTACGAAGAGGAATGATTATTCTTTTCACAGTCCTTCTCAGGTGATAGCAATGTTCCAACTCTATAGCCTTTAAAATCTTTGATAGAAAATTTTTGAGATATTATTGATAGCTGTCTGTGCGGGCAAATACTTTATTCATCTCTCAATGAATTGCTTTGAGGACCCCATCAGAGCAACATACAGGATAACCAGTTAAGGTAGCAAGTCACTCCAAAAAGCAAAGGAGCAGGGGGGCCTCATCGTATGCATAATGAAGGACTATCGAAGCTAGTCACCGTAATCATTGTCCATCCTGGCCTATGGCTTCAGTTGGCTGCTTCATTATTCTTGGTAGAGTTGACCATTTCTTACATTTCTTAATAATGTAACATGCCTTATATAGGACTTATTATATATCTAGTTTGAAAATTTCAGTGAATACAGAACAGCACAATTGTCCTGAATATGGAATACAGAACTTAGCAGGCATGCTAGTCTTCAAATAGTGCAAGAAATACTACATCGATTTATCATTTATTTATGCAAGAATTACAAAGCTCTGCTTATAACCCTTAAGATCCTATATGGCTTGGATCTAGGCCAGGGGTAGGCAACCTTGGCTCTTTTATGACTCATGGACTTCAACTCCCAGAATTGTTGAGTCAGCTGGCTCAGGAATTCTGGGAGTTAAAGTCCATGAGTCATAAAAGAGCCAAGGTTGCCTATCCCTGATCTAGGCTACTTGGTTGCTTGTAAATTATTATTCTTTATGCAACAAGGTTATATGAGAAAAGTCATATTATAATTGTGTCTGGCCCCAAAAGGGCTGCAGTCCTCTGGGACTACACAACCAACTTTTTGCTTTGGGGAGTTGCTGCTGTGACTATTGATTTTCCATGAAGCACCTTGCTTGGTGTTTTTCCCTAATTATGGTCTTTGATTCAGATAGGGCCTACATTACTGGTTCTTACAAAAGTAAACAAAATCAGTTTTTATTAAAAAGTAAAATGATCAAATACAAAACCTATTTATACTTCAGATATTAACGCTATTGTCTCTTAAAGAAGGGAAAGGGAGAAACGGTTTGATAAAACAGATACTTCCAAAATGCTTAAATGCGGGGGAGGAGACGTTACAAAACAAGATGCATGTTCCAGTAACACCACAAGATGGCGCTGGTCTGTTACAAAATGCTAGTTAAATACTCAGATCAATCTTGCACTGTTCTAAATTTAATATGGAAAATAAAGTCATATTCATCAACTTTATTCAAAATGTGTAGCTGGGAAACGTATATCCTAATCCACATTTGGGCTGAGCCCAAAGCAAAAAAGATGAAAAATTAATCTAATATACACAACAAAATAAAATTGGTTAATGCAGATTTTCTGAGTAAAAAGTTTACCTATTTCTGCAGAAACAAACTGCTCTGCTTTTCCCTGGATCACCCTTGGCATTTTGGGGGATAATTCCAGCCATTTATTAGAGCTATGGGAGGTATTCTTTCTTTCTTTCTTTCTTTCTTTCTTTCTTTCTTTCTTTCTTTCTTTCTTTCTTTCTCTTTCTTTCTTTCTTTCTTCTTTCTTCATTCTTCATCTTTTCTTTTCTTTCCTTTTTTTCTTCATTTGTCTGCTGTCTGTCTTTCTGTCTTGAAATTACTCACCCATAAGTGTCTCCAGGTGGCTACAATTATCAATCAATCAATCAATCAATCAGAATAGAGCAGGAAGATACCTTGGAGGTAATAATAATAATAATAAAGTTGGAAGGGACCTTGGAGGTCATCAAGTCCAACCCCCTGCTCAGGCAGGTAACCCTATACTGTTTCGGACAAATGGCTGTCCAATTTCTTCTTAAAAATGTCCAGTGTTGGAGCATTCACCGCTTCTGGAGGCAGGTTATTTGTTCTAACTGTCAGGAAGTTTCTCCTTAGTTCTAGGTTGCTTCTCTGTTTGGTTAGTTTCCACCCATTGCTTCTTGTTCTGCCTTCAGGCGCCTTGGAAAATAGCTTGACTCCCTCTTCTTTGTGGCAGCCCCCGAGATATTGGAACACTGCTATCATGTCCCCCCTTGTCTTTCTCTTCATTAAACTAGACATACTTAATTCCAGCAACCATTCCTTATATGTTTTAGCCTCCAGTTCCCTAATCATCATTGTTGCTCTTCTCTGTACTCTTTCTAGAGTCTCAACATTTTTTTACATCGTGGTGACCAAAACTGGATGCAGTATTCCAAGTGTGGCTTTATCAAGGCATTGTAAAGTGGTATTAATACTTCACGAGATCTTGATTCTATCCCTCTGTTAATGCAGCCTAGCACTGTGTTGGCTTTTTTGGCAGCTGCAGCACACTGCTGGCTCATATTTAAATGATTGTCCACTAGGACTCCAAGATCCCTCTCATAGTTACTACTATTGAGCAAGGTACCCCCTATACTGTACCTGTACATTTGGTTTTTCTTGCCTAGAACCTTACTTATTTCACCATTGAATTTCATTTTGTTAGATAGCGCCCAGTGTTCAAGTCTGTCCAGATCCTCCTGTATCCTAAGCCTGTCTTCTGGAGTGTTGGCTATTCCTGCCAGCTTGGTGTCATCTACAGATTTGATGAGTTCCCCATCTATCCCTTCATCCAGATCATTGATGAAGATGTTGAAGAGCACTGGGCCCAGAACAGAGCCCTGGGCCACCCCACTACCCACTTCCCTCCATGTAGATGTGGTTCCATTGAGGATCACATGCTCAGTACAGCCGGTCAGCCAGCTACAGATCCATATGGTGGTGATGCTGTCTAACCCGCACTTTTCTATCTTATCAAGTAGTAGGTTGTGATCTACTTCGTCAAATGCCTTACTGAAATCCAAGTAAATTATGTCCACAGCATTCTTCTGAACCACTAATTTTGTCACTTGGTCAAAGAATGCAATTAGATTTATCTGGCATGATCTGTTTTTGACAAACCCATGTTGGCTTTTAGTAATGACTTTGTTTGCCTGTAGGTGTTTGCTGATTCATTGTTTGATTATTTTTTCCAGAATCTTCCCAGGTATTGAGGTCAGGCTGATAGGTCTGTAATTTTCTAGGTCCTTTTTTTCCCCCTTTTTTGAAAATGGAAACTACATCAGCTCTTTTCCAGTCCTCTGGTAGTTCCCCAGTGCTCCAGGATCTTTGAAAAATATAGTTCAGTGGTTCTGAGATCACATCTTCCAGTTCCTTGAGAACTTTGGGGTGTAATCCATCTGGTCCTGGCGATTTGAACTGGTCTAGGCTGGACAGGTGTTCACTTACCATTTTCTTGCTATCTTAACTTGTATTTCTATTTTGTTTTTTCCCTTTGTGTACAGACAGATGCAAAAAACGAGTTAAATAGTTCTGCTTTCTCCCTGTTGCTTGTCACCTTCTTGCCACTTTTACTCACTAATGGACCAATCGTTTCCTTCACTTTTTTCTTGTTTTTTACATGTTGAAAGAAGCTTTTTTTGTTATTTTTGACTTTGGTTGCAAGCCTTCGTTCATTTTGAGCCTTAGCTTTCCTCACTTCATCTTTGCAGACTCGGGTTATTTGCTGATATTCTGACTTAGTTATGTGTCCCTCTTTCCACTTTCCATACTTGTCCTTTTTATCTTTCAATTGATCAGAGAGTTCTTTATGCAGCCATGCTGGTTTCTTTTGAGAGGTAATAATAATAATGATGATGATAAAGTTGGAAGGGACCTTGGAGGTCATCTAGTCCAACCCCCTGCTCAGGCAGGAAACCCTATACCATTTTGGACAAATGGCTGTCCAGTTTCTTCTTTAAAACTTCCAGTTTTGGAGCATTCACCGCTTTTGGAGGCAGGTTGTTCCACTGGTTAATTGTTCTAACTGTCAGGAAGTTTCTCCTTGGTTCTTCTTAGGTCTTCTAGTCCAACCCCCTGCTCAAGCAGGAGACCCTATACCATTTCAAACAAGTGACTGTCCAGTGCCTTTTTAAAAACCTCCCGTGATGAAGCACCCACAGCTTCTGAAGGCAAATTGTTCCACTGGTTAATTGTCCTCACTGTTAGGAAGTTTCTCCTTAATTCCTGGTTGCTTCTCTCCTTGATTAGTTTTTATCTGTTGTTTCTTGTCTTGCCTTCTGGTGCTTTGGACAATAAGTTAACCCCCTCTTCTTTGTGGTAGCCCTTCAAATACTGGAATATTGCTATCATGTCACCCCTAGTCCTTGTTTTCTCTAGACTGGTCATACTCAATTCCTGCAACTGTTATGGTTCACTCCTATTTTTCCCTGCTCAGATGAAGCAGCTTCTTCTTCTTCTTCTTCTTCTTCTTCTTCTTCTTCTTCTTCTTCTTCTTCTTCTTCTTCTTCTTCTTCTTCTTCTTCTTCTTCTTCTTCTTCTTCTTCTTCTTCTTCTTCTTCTTCTTCTTCTTCTTCTTCTTCTTCTTTCTTACGGATTCAAATCTTGCTAAATGTAGCAAAGAGAGACAAATTGGGGCATCTATGTGACAGAAAGCATACCTCTCCCAATGCTGATTCTGCTTAACATGGGAAATGTGTATTCTCAGTCTGGCAAGTTAGGAATGCAGGCTGGCATAACAACATGCTTACAGTGTTCATTTATCTCTTTATAGCTGTTTCAGAAACCCTACTGTAAAAACATTTATTTATTGCTTTTACTGTTTGATTTTATCTATAGTTCTGACTTTGCTTTTAGATAGATAGATAGATAGATAGATAGATAGATAGATAGATAGATAGATAGATATAAATAGATAGAAAGATAGATACATAGATACATAGACAGACAGACAGATGGACAAACAGATAGCCTTTATTGTCATTTTTTACTGTGGAACAGTGGCACACATTAAAAATGAAATTTAGTTGCTTGCTCTCAAAATGTACACATACATAACCCACATTTAAACATACTATATACAACATATGCATAGACCTACATCCTTACATATAAGTAACATATAAATATTAATCACTGTCCATCTTGAATACATAATGGAAAGAGGAAGCTTTTGAGTATACAAGATTAATATTATATGGAACAAAACTGTGACTGAATCTGGATGTTCTGCTTCGGATTCCACGGAATTCCTCCTTTTGAAGAGGATGTGTAGTGTCCCAGACAGTCTTGCAGACCCTGCTCAAGCAATGCTTATGTGCTATGTCCTGGATGGAAGGGAGGGAACAGCCAATAATCTTTTCAGCCATCCTCACCACTCTCTGCACTGCCTTCCTGATTGAAGCAGTGATGTTTCCAAACCAGACTGTGATGCTGTATGACAGGATGCTCTCCATGGTCCCTCTGTAGAAAGTGGTAAGGATGGAGGAAGGAAGATATGCTTTTCTCATGCAACGCAGAAAATGCAGGCGCTGCTGTGCCTGCTTCACTGGTGTCTCACTGTTGAGCGACCAAGCCAGCCTACTCGTTAGCTGCACACCCAGGAATTTGATGTTGGTAACCATCTCCTCAGGTGAATCATTAATACACAGAAGAGTGTGGTTATGCCTGCCTTTTCTGAAATTGACAACGATCTCTTTGGTTTTATCAATGTTTAAACTAGGCTGTTTTCCTTATACCCGTTCACCAAATCCTCAACCTCCTTGCGGTAAGCACCCTCATTGTCATCTTGAATAAGGCCCACTACTGTTGTATCATCCACATACTTCACAATATGGTGAATATGGGAATGTGAGTAAAAAGGCACAATTGTTTTCATATCTACTTGGTCATAGAGTGGAAAAACAACCACTATTACCCACGCCACAAACTGGATAGCAGCTCATCTCTATCCACTCAAATGCATCTCTGATGGAGAGAAAGAGAAAGAATATTTCCTTGCATTCTATGCAATATGAAACATGCAGGTCAAGAAAGACTGCTTTGCATAGATAGGTGGCTCCTTCTCCATCCCAAGTTGACTGATTCAGGGGTGTAATTCTCTTCCCTTCCCCTGATAGAATATGTATTCCACCCTATCTGTGCATGCTTGTGCTCAAATTTTAGTCCAATTTGGTCTCTGCAATAGATGTTGCAAAATAATCTCTGATTATCGGCCACAAAGATGGCTAATCTGAAACTCAGAAATTACTGATGTACCATCATATTGATTTGTGAATGAATTACAGACTTTCTAACTTAAAGTGAATGCATTCTGTTGTTATTCTTTTTTAGAATAGACTACGTCAGGCACACCATGATCAAATTAGTTACTATGTACCCTATGAACTTAGCAGCCATTCGTTTTCCTTTTTTGAAATGTCTGTCAGAGACTATCAGTTTATCTGTACTACAGTAAGCATCAAAATTTAGCCCTTTTCTCTCCAGCCACATTTTAGTCTAATTCAATATGGTATTCAATGCCTAAATAGGGATGGTTCAACTTGTACAACGTGCAAAAACAATGGCTGAATTCTCATAAAGAACAATAGCTATCCAAGCCTTCTTTAGTTTAGGCTAGTACATTATGTGAACCCAGTCTTCTTAGTCTAAAGCAGGGGAAGGCAATCTTGGCTCTTTTATGACTCGTGGACTTCAACTCCCAGAATTCCTGAGCCAGTCAGCTGGCTCAGGAATTCTGGCAGTTGAAGTCCACGATAAAAGAGCCAAGGTTGCCTACCCCTGGTCTAAAGAAAGGACTCTTCCTTGGCACTGTTTAAATGCTATAAACGGTAAAGAAGGAATAAGGAGGGAGATGACTGCAGTGCAGATCTGCTGAGAAAAATGTTAGAGGACAAACAATAACCAGATGTGATCACAGTTCTGAGGAAATTCCCATAAGTCTCCACTATTGAGTTAATCAGCTGCCCACATCCAGAGACTCAAAATAGATGAGATATGAAATGAACCGTGCAGAAGCTGAATAAGCCGGGGCTTGTAATTATGAGACATATTGCAAGGGGACCTTAGTTTTTCCACTTTTGCTGAGATCCTGGTGAGAATTGTCAACTCCTCCCTGTAATAATTCTCTCTGGGTATCTCTCTCTATCTGCATTTTAAAAAAAAATGGTTCTGTTGAATAAAGTCAGTGTTATATCAGTTTTGGCTTTTCCTAATGTTTGTCTTTTGGAAAGATATTTCATAGCTCTGTAATACATTTATAACTTATTCCCTACTTTTTTGTTGTTGATACCACCACAGGAATTACTATTACGCGACCCAGTGGTCTTCCTCCCGATTCTTTCTTGAAAGTAAACAAAGATCATGTTGGTTTTTATCGTGTAAATTATGAACCCCAAGTCTGGCGTACTTTAGCTAATATTATGATGAAAGACCATCAGGTCAGTCTGCTGAAATTAATCGTTGGTTCAGTTTTAGAGATGATTATTCACTGTATTTTAATTTTACCCATCTGATGTCAACTGCTTCTTTTTTCCCTCTCCTTTTAGAATTTTAATCTAGCTGATCGTGCTGGTTTTATAGATGATGCTTTTGCACTGGCCAGGTAGGTGTTATAATTAAATTAATAAAATACACAGTTTATTTGATGCTATATTACTAGTTAGCTATTTAACATAATATTACCCCAAGAAACATATGTGAACTGACACCTGCAAATATATTACAATTCATTTTCTTGTTGCTAAGGCTGCAATCCTATGCACATTTACTTTGCGGTAATATCCAATGAACACAGAGGAACTTACTGCAGTTCTAGTTGTCCTAATTAGCCCTTTCATTCCTTGTGCTTTATTCTCTCACTGTCACCTCAAGAAGCTTTGGGGTTTTTTTTTTTTTTTTTGAGAAAACAGATGCCATCATTCATCACTGGATTCTGCAGTATAGATACTCCATGAATTCTAGAATCATTGAATCTGGAAAATATGTACTTACTGAATTTGCAGTTTGGAATGCTATTAATAGTCAGATCTTCAAAATTTTGTGATGCTGCTTCCCATACAAGCATACCAAAATATATAGTAAATATTATGTTACATGTGATTTTATTGTTATTGCAGTGCTCTTAATCTATTTTATTTTAACTGATTGGATCATCAAACTCTATGTGCTGGCTTATGGATAGAATAACAACTAACAAATAACAACAACTAATTAATTAATTAATTAACAAGCGATAGTCCATCGGATTTAATTCCTAAGAGGTTTCTTCATATTCCATGTTCTTCATTCCCCCCTTAGAGCTGGACTTCTGACGTATGCTGATGCATTAAACCTTACAAGATATCTGCAAAACGAGACAGAATATATTCCGTGGCAAAGAGCTGTAGTAGCTGTATCCTATATTGGACAGATGGTTGAAGATGATAAGGCACTCTATCCCAAATTTCAGGTAAAGTTCCCTATGAAACTGAATATACCAGGAAAACAACAATAAAATCTATTAGTCCTCACATTCATTTGCCTTCTGCAGTAACACTGAAAAACTGACTTTATCAATCTGGAGTCATTTTTTTCAAAAATGAGTACTATTGCATTTCTGAAATGTATATTACAAGTTAAGTAAAGTGTCACTCTATGGAAGGTTCCTGTTCAGAAAGTCTACCTGACCCCAATTTATCAAATTTTATAAGTATGTGTAGTACTTATACCAATCTAGACATCCCTCCTAAGCCCACTATTTTTTCTCTCTTATGAATGGCTAGGTAATTGTGGAGTGTGGATACTTGTAATGTGAAAGGCAGGGAAGCAAGATTAGCTCTATGTTGCCTGTGTGTTAGTCTTACTCCCCACCACTATCATTTCCCCTTCATATCTATAATCCCCATGAAAAAAAGACTTGTATCACACCACATCAAAGTCACAAAACAGCATGAAAGCTTTTGAGTTCTGAAGACCTTTGGACAGCTCTTCTTCAGCAGGAAAAAGGAGGAAGAGAATTTGCTTGCTTTTCGAATTATGTGCCTGTATGTAGATATAATCAGGGGCAGAACAGGGACAGGTGGCCGATTTATAAATTGCTTTGTATCAAGGAATTTCAAATTTGCATTAATATTTCTACAAAAGCTCTCAGAAATGGGTGATATTGATGATCACGATAGAAATGGAGAAAGAAGACAGTAGGATCTCCCTTCTTAAAAAAAAAATAAATTAATGGTCCTGGTGTTTTAAAACATAAATACAAGGAAGCTACTCAACTGGATAGGAATAATTTTACAGGAAGGAGGCAGGGGGAGGGGAAGGGAGGGGGAGGGAGGGAAGGAAGGAAGGAAGGAAGGAAGGAAGGAAGGAAGGAAGGAAGGAAGGAAGGAAGGAAGGAAGGAAGGAAGGAAGGAAGGAAGAATATTTTCTTGGAAAAAAACCTAAGCTAGTTTGTGGAGAATATAAAAATGTATATGCTATTCTGTAATTTTAGACTTAAGAATGAGTTAATTACCTGTACTGTAAGTTTTGGGAATTCTAGAGCTTTGCATTTTCTGCGACACAAGGGTCATTCACATATATAAATAACCTGTTATTAAAGAGATTTCATATCAGCTCCTCACAAGGAAACAGCAATCTTGTACTATTTCATTGGAACAATGTTGTTTACCCAACAGAATGCAGGCATTTGTGACAATAGTGCAGTTGAAACGTATACAGTGGGAAGGCTATCTGGCTAGACACAATGACAGCAGGATAAAGAATGGCTTGCTTTGTTTCCTGACTCCTGACCTCTTCTAGTGACTTTCCAGTCACTATCAAAGGTCCACTTAATGCAAAGTCTCTGGTTTTATGGCCTCAGATTATCCTATAAAAAGAACATATTTTAACCATACTCATTCTCATATATTAAAAAAAATGCTTATTTTTTATGAACTGCCATAGTGATAACAGAAACTCATCCATTTCAATTAGAAACAAATTCCTAATATCTAATATACTGTAAAGAATACTAATGTTGATGGTTGGAATAGAAGTGACAATCAACTGTTTATTGATGATGTTCTGCTTAATGCTGATGACCCCAAGAGATTTACTGAATGTAATTAAACTATTTAAATCTGATTGCTATGTAGAGATCCCAACATGAACCACTTATTGCTTCTGTTTTCAGAGATATTTTGGTAGCCTGGTCAAGCCCATTGCAAGTGAACTGAAATGGGAGAATGATGAGGACCATATCAAAAGGTGAAGCATTTGTTTCAACTACCTTATATACAAACTTGCTTTTGAGCATTGTATTTTGAGTATTATCTTTCAAATGACCCTTAGATGTCCCACTCCAGTGATGTTTATCAGCCCTTCCTTTATTTGTAGGATCAAAGTTACAGACAAATGAAATCTTGCGCATAATGAGATTTAATCAACCTATTTATGTTAGAGGAAGACAGCTACCCTTGTTGGTTGTTAAACAGAAAAAAAACTTAAACAGCTGTACTAATCAGTTTTTTAATCTGTGTATGCATGAGACAGAGAGAAGGAATGTGAGGGGGGAAGGTTTGAAGATAGTCTTAAAGTTTACTGCTCCCAGATAAAGAGCACTATTTTTTTTTTAAAAAAAAATGTGAAATTACCCTGTCCTGTTTGGATATTGTTTCTTTCATTCTTTCATTCTTGTGTTTTCTAGTATTGTTTCCATATCTTTTCGCTGTAAAAAGAGTGTAGCATAATTGGTGTAACTGTACAATTATCTTTGACTGATATTTTTTTTATCAAACTTCCATCTAGAATCACTCTTAATTTCATCATCAACATTGACCCAAACCTGCCTCCCATAGTGTTTGATCCACCCTGGGACAATATGATAGGGCATGCAGTAATCTAGCATTTTTCTAGAAGGAATATGATATGATAATCAAATCAATATCCTCCAGTGTCAAAAGTTCCTTTATATAATAAATGTTTTGTTCGTTTTCTAAAGTATCTGCGTGATCAAATAAATCACATAGCAAATATTAGATTTTTGAAGCTTTCCATTGAAAGCATGGAGTGCCTCTATTGGCTTCTGCTTCTGTTTCTTTCTTGTCTTGACCTTCAGATGACCAGATCTGTAAATGGGAACTGACTTTTTGTTTATTTAAATAGGACTATGTCCCACAATATAAGCTTGGATCTTGCTTTATTCTGACCCTGGACTGCATTAGCTGATCTATTTATATTCAATCTGAAGTGAATACACCTCCCCTTTAGAACTCCTGTAGAACAAATAATTAGTTTGAATTCCTGAGGAAAGCTTCTATAAGTATTGTTTAAAATATCTTGTGGAACAAAAAACCATGTGGTCTTCCCCCCCCCCCACAACAATTCCTATCTTATACACCCCTGCTTTTCAGCCCCCCCCCCTCGTTTTCAGAAATGGATTGACTTGTGTCCCATAGCATGGCTGCTTGAGGCTTGAATGTGTGTAGGTTTAATATGTATACATATGTATAGTTTAATATGTAAACTACAGCATATTTCAAGCAAATAAAACATAGTTTTCCTTTGTCCTTTTCTCCAGTCTCCTTCGTACAACTGTTTTGGAATTTGCATGCAATATGGACGACCCAGAAGCTTTGGGGAATGCCTCTTTGTTGTTTAAGAATTGGACAAGTGGAATAAGGTGACTATGCATATTTAGGTGCAGATGCAGAAGGTGTCCATAGGCAAAGTGAAATGAAAGGTAGGCCTCTTTCGCTAATAATATCATTCTCTTCCATGTTAGTCTAGATGTAAATCTTCGTCTCCTGGTGTACCGTTTTGGGATGCAGAACTCAGGTGATGAGAAAGCCTGGAATTATATGTTTGAGAAATACATTACTGCAACATTAGCTCAAGAAAAGGAGAAGCTACTCTACGGCCTGGCATCAGTGAAAAACATAACTCTGCTGAACAGGTTTCTTGAAATTATCTTTAACTTTCTATATTAGAAGTATTCATTTGCTGTTCTTAAATCCTGGTTCTCAAAACAACAAAAAAGGATTGGTGGAGGAACATGAAGCAGAGATTCTGAGCATTCTGAGCATTCTTAGTAGGCATTAAAGCAGGAAGCAAGTGGTTCTTAAAAGAATCAGTGATTAATTTCCCAATAGATATGATGCTATCTTTCTAACATCCTTTCACTAATGTTTACACTGGGGCCATGGGTTATGGTTTCATATACACAGGGTTGTCTAAAGCAGTAGTTTTCAAAGACTGTGTTTTGCTGCCCATGAACTGCAAAGTTCCTTGAAATTGATCAGGGAATTCTTTAATTGACAAGCAAAATAATGGACAACTTCCCCAAAGCACCATAAGCTAATCTGACCTACCAATCTTGCAAACTGGAACTGAAATGTAGTGCTAGATGTGTTTTGTTCAAGTAACCAAGAGGCCCAAGTGATTTAGACAGTGCCTGAATCATAGCCAATGCCATATTTAATTCAGAAATCTATCAAGGAGGTCTAATCTAAAGCTTCGTACTCAACATGCTCCTTTCATCTTTCTTGATTGATGTCTAGAGAATTCTGAGGTTTTTTTTAAGTTTCTTACTTCATGTAAATTAGGTTGAGAAAAGCAGTTTAAATCTCATTTTCTATGCAATCCTAAGGAACTGCTACTCATCAGATATAATTGCTTGTTTTGTTTCTAGATTCCTAAATTGCATCAAAAATACAACTCTCATAAGAAGTCAAGATGTGTTCACTGTCTTGAGATACATCTCCTTTAATAGCTATGGCAAAACAATGGCTTGGGACTGGGTACGCCTCAACTGGGAGTATTTGGTCAAAAGGTAAGTGCTGGGTCCCTAGAGAGTTCACTCTCTTTATGAAGCCACTTTGATTTTTGTTGAAAAAAAAACCCACCTAAATATAAGAATATTGAATTTTAACATCTCCAAGTGCCATCAAAGCTGGAAGATAAGTTTCCTTCTTGTTGTTGTTTTCTGTTTTATGAAAACAGCACACCTTTATATTGTTATTTGCATAATAAATTTAGAAATATTTATGCAGCATTTCTCAAGACATTTGGTGCCCCTTCTCACATCACATGAGCAAGAACCAAATGCATGCCTGCAGATGAAACAGAAAGAGTCTCAAATCTCCAGGGCCTGATATTGCTGGTGAGCCATGCTGAAAAAGGGAATTGAACAAGTCCATAGATCATATGTCCCCTATTCAGATTCTGGGTAAAAAAAAAAAGAATATGCTTATTTCTATAATTGGAATAGCCTCTGGACTCTCCTGCTTTGATGGTCTATAGAAATGTAAAAGGTGAATTGAAACAAAGGACAGAAAAGGTCAATCAACGCAGGATCAAGCCAGAACTAGTTTGTATCAAGACTATGCTGATAGTTTTACTAAGATTTACTTCATAGCATTTAAAGTCTCCCTGAAACAAGTACCAGGGCTGGCTTCAAATTTTGAGGCTTGACAAAATGTCTTTTGGAATGTCCTGTGCTAGGTTATGGAACTCCAGGGAGGCTTGTTTAATATCAGGTTCTCTCCAATTAACACAAAGAGTAAGCATGACATTGTTTTGCTGACAGATTACTCTGAGGAAGGAATCAATTTCAATTTCCTACATAGTCAGGAATATAGGGTTGGGAAATTAATGTGTCTACTTCCTTGAATGTATAGGATCCCAATTAGGTTCAATCCCTATCAAGTGGCCATTAGAGATGATGATGATGATTCTATTTCTGCTATTTTATGTTGAAAACCAGTATGTAGTAGCCACCATGTTTAGCATACATAAATATGAATGTGTTTTTTTTTTCACAGATACACTCTTAATGATAGAAACCTTGGACGCCTAATATCAAGAATATCAGGAACATTTAACACAGAGCTCCAGCTTTGGCAGGTAAGGACACAACCTGGTTACCTACTGCTCAGCTGTCCAATTTTCTTGATATGAAAAATGCCAAGATACTCTTCCCCATTCCCTCTTCTAGGTGCATCTATTTAATGAAATGGATGTTGATAAGGGAGAGAGGTTTCTTGATTGTGGCACTAGGCAACCAATACAAATTTGCCTAGTTTTGATGTTATAGTCTTTGGGGGCCTGTATATTCTCCTGACACTTCAAAAGCAATTTTAGTGGGCATGTATGCAAGCATTAACTAAAATGATAAAACCAGAACATGAACTTGGGAATGGAAATCTAATAGGTATATTGTTCCTATCACTTTTTGATGGCAAACTAAATACTACAGTACAATACATACAGTAGTACATTTCAGCTCAAAGCTAGCACAGAAGGCCACAGTTCCCCAAAAGACTGCCTCTGCAATATAAGTCAATCAACTATAACCCCCTCCCTCCACAAAACAAAACAAAGTAAACTAAAACAATAACAAATCAAGGGAAAAATTCATATCCAGCCCCAAATTTTTTGCAGCCCTCAAAAGTCAATAAAAAAGAAATTGCAGTCCTTGCTAGCAATAAAGTTTCCTATCCATCCTAAATGTATTTATTCACAGGACTTATATGGCCACCTAGCTCATGTATCTGTTTGTTTTCCCCAATTGTCAGAAGGTCTTGTTCTTTTCCACTCTTTCTAGTTCTTCTGTAAATAGTCTCTAAAAGTGTTATGACTCAGTTTAAGGTTAGGAGTAATTTAGATTGAAGCTCTATATGGAAACAAAGAGTTGGACCTATACATACTCTAATACTATAACAATCCAAACCAAGCAACTCACTAATTGTTCTTAAGGAGGAAAAGAAATATGGGAAGTTATAACCAAGAATGCTTGCAGAATGCATAGTTAGCCCTTCCCTAATAATGTAACATGAAATGTGTCACCATTGATGTAAACTTGAATAGTCTGTGAATGGTCTATCTGCTCTGGGACATTTCCTGGTTCAGACACATTATCCTAAAAAAAAAAAAAAGAACCAGAACAAAATATAAATTATAGAAAAGCTAGACCACTACAAGGAGATGAGTCATGCGAAATTTAGAAATCAATTCAAGGATTTTCAAGTTTTGCTACTTAAAAAAAAGTTATATAACTTTGGGGGCAAATGATTTTGCAGAAAAAATGGCACTTTCATGAAGAACATCTTTGAAAAAATTAAAACAGCAAGATGGCAGACTGTAAAAAGAGGAGTTAATGATGGTAACATTTGATAATGCACACTTTTTGCATCAAACTCATCAGAAATCTAAAAGATTGGCTCATTGGTCTTTTCCTATCAGCTAGTTAAGACAACAGATCAAACACTGCCAAACAATGTGTAAGGGTGAAAGTCTAGTAAAAATCAGATGGTGTGGATAGTAAAACAGAAGCTGTCTTTGGCTTCAGGAATTCTCCAGATTTCTGCTGATATGTTGACATGAGTCACTTAAACCAGAGTGATTGGAAGAGTCACTTTGAGTTAAGGCTATACTTGTTGGTCAGTAAATGCAGTCTCCTCCTTTTTCACCCCATCATGGTATTTCTTTCAACCAGTACATTTTAGCATGATGATCATGAGACTAAAATTCCAGTACAACAAATCAGGAGTTTAAAATCAAAATGAGGTGTGATAAAATTGTTCACTTTATATCATGTAAATTATAACCTGTTTTGAATTACTCTGATCTTCAGAATTCTGGCTTCATTCCAAATCCAATGTATAGAATTAGACTAGATGCATAACAACCCAACCAGGTATATCAGAGCTCAAAGCCTGTTTACAAAGTATATTTGATAATTAAGTACTGACTTGTAGATATATGAAAAATTCTGCAAACTGGAGATACACGAAGCTGTTTAGTCTTCTGAAAAATTTCAGTTCTATGTCATTAATATTTGCACATGTTTTATCTTCTTAAGATGGAAAATTTCTTTGAGAGATATCCTGATGCTGGAGCAGGGGAAGCCTCAAGAAAGCAAGCTTTGGAAACTACAAAGAGCAACATCGAATGGCTAAAACAATACCGAAATGATGTAGCAACCTGGCTTGAAAATTCAGAGCAGCCAAACTTTGTATAACTGAGTCTCAGTCCTCATGAAAATTCTTAGGATTCTTTTTTTAAATCTTACCAACATGGTAATTTGCAAAATACTACATTTAGATTTTGACAGATATGTCAACTTTGAAATACCTTAATTTATTGAAATATATATTGAAACTAGCCAGCCAGTCATTCTTAAATGTTCCTATAAATGTTTCTAATATCTTAGAACATTTTTTCTCATTTTAATTGGACAAAATGTAAAATTATCATTTGCATAAACATAGGATCTCGTTACCTTTATGAGCATTACTGATGTTTGTACTTAACCACATATTCGCCACTCTGAAAATGAATCTTTTATACAAAAATATTTATTATTCCATGTGTTCAGGAGGCCCTTCCAAATAAAACTTCATAGAATCCATTCCAAAGAGAGGGCTTTGCCTCTATTCAGAATATATATATATATTCTCCTAAGAAAAAAGCACTAACCCAATTTTGGTGGGGGGGAGGGGAAATCACAAATTTTTGAGAGACAAGAGAGATAAACAGACAGACAGACAGATTAAAGTTATTATTCTAAAGTGACTTTGAGAAACCTATAGCTTTGATAAAGACTACATCTATGGCGATTGATGGACGTGCCATCTGGCCTTATGTTATAGCATCAGCACTTTTTTTTTAAATGTCCAGCTCTCACATCCATGTATCATATAATCTTATATGCAAACACTAAGATCTCTCACACATTTAGGCAATCTTGAAAATTTTCAGCCATTTGAGATTGGATTTTAACAATGAAAAAGGCTATGATACCATTTTATAAACAAATAAATTAACCTTTCTGAAATGGGCACTTTATATCTTAACTGAGCACTGTGAGAAAAACATTTAGAAATTAATTACTCCAAAATCAAGGCACATGTCTGACACCAAACAATCATTCAATAGAGCAAATTAAGACCTTGAAATATCTGGATATTGTTTTCCATGGGACAGGCAACCATAAATTCCACGCCAGCTTTAAGTCCCATTGTGTCAGCTTAAGTCCACAAAAAAAGCATCAACTTCACAATCTTTCCACTTCTCCAAAGGAGTTCAAATGTACCTGCAGGAAACAGAACAATGTTTTCTCACCTAAGATCTGAGCCCAGCTCCTCTCTGGAGTTCAGTGGGACGCCTACAGGTTATTTCTTTCTCTTGAAAGAGTTCAATTCAAACTTCTGAAATCTATTTTTCAAGCACCTTGCTTCTTTCCAAATGGGGTATTTTGCTGTGAAGCTGGCCTACTTAAAGTAGAAAACTTTCAGCTCAAACCTACTTTTTTCCCCTGCTGACTTGGCCCCTTTAATCATGACTCTCACTCTTTCTGGCAATACTTACTCAATTGCAACCCTATGGCATTACATGGGCAGCTCTCACCCTGAAAGACTGTGCATTAGCTGATCTTAATGGGCTATTACAGTTGCAATCAGATTCATCAGTTCCACGCAGAAAAAACATTTTAGAGTTATTCTGTATATTTGTTCTGACCAACCAGACACCTAAGCTTCATAATGGTTCCAAAATTTAGAAAGGCTTATCCTTGACTAAATTTAACACCTCCCTCTAAGAGCGATTACTAAAGGAAGATTCAAAACATCCCTTTGTGTCCCTGAGGTGGAGGAATAGTTGAGGCAATGGAACATATTATTTTATATTGTTCCCTCTATGCAGGAATTATCTCCATTCCTCACTAAACAACCTGGTTGTTCTACCACTCTTAAGAGGTTACTCTCTGATCAATCTTATTTTACTTCACAGACCACAGCCAAGAATTGATCTGTAGTTTGTGCAGGACCCTGTAGTATCTCCTCCAAATTTTTAAAAAATATTTTAGAATGTTACGTCTTCCTTTTTTACTTTAATTAATTATGATTTTTTTATTTGTTGGTCTATGACTGAATAAATATCAATTGATAATAAAGATTGATTGATAATTTAATCTGTAGTTTTTATGTTTTTATATAAAGATGATGCATATAAGGTAGTACACCTGAGTGCTTGTATTTCCAGTCCCTGGAATAATCAGTAGCGTAGCAAAATTATCAGTCCCACAAGATAGATCAGACCAGAAATCAGCTGCCCAAGAAGACTAGAACTATATTTCACTGGGTCAGGTTAGGTTCACAGGATGATGGAAGAAGGATGGGCTTATCTCCTGTGGTGGTTCATCTTGCATGGCTCCACATGCTCAGGGGTACCTAGAATCAATATGGGGAATAGGTAGGAAAAGTCTGGAAATTTGATCTCGCTCAGTTTATTAGTTACCCAGTTTTAAATTTATTTTATCCTATGTTTTCATTTCATTTGCACTTCTCAATAAAACTCTGCCTCTAATTTTATGCATTTGGGGACAATTTTTCTTCTGAGATACATAATTTGGTATGTATCTGATGAATTTTGCAATATAGAGGTAAATACAACCTTCACAGATGTAAGCATACATTTTTGTAATTTTAATAAGCATCCATCATATTACTGCATATATTTCTGCTCTACACTCATATTTTGTATACATGTTTTTTGCTTTGGCAAATCACAATAAATGTCAAGAACCTGAGAATATCAAAAGATCATTGTGATTAGTTAAGGCTACATTTACATGTAGACATAATACAAAGAAAAATTGTATTTCTTACTACTTTTTATTCTAAACTTACTGAAATAACAAACAGATTAAGTAATTTTAATATTATAAATCAAAATAGTAAATGATATTAATAAGGTTGCAAGCATGGAAACTTACATTTTATCATTATGTATTAACAGCATCCTCTATTGGCAAAGAAGAGTCATTGCAAACAATTAACATTGCCTTATTGCTTAATGCAGGGGTAGGCAACCTTGGCTCTTTTATGACTCGTGGACTTCAACTCCCAGAATTCCTGAGCCAGCAAGTCCACGAGTCATAAAAGAGCCAAGGTTACCTACCCCTGGGTTAATGCATAGGAACACTTGGCACCTATTGGGACATGAGATTCTTGAAAATGGAGGCTATATTTAAAAAATGAGCACAGTTCAGAAAAAAAAATATATTGATGACTTATATTGTGTACTTCATAATTTCGATTTGATTTTTAATGTTGGAAGGGACCTTGGGTGATACACTTACCTGTGGAGATGGTTACCAGCATCAAATTCCTTCAGTAGACTAGCTTGGTCAGTAAACAATGAGACACTGGTGAAGCAGGCACAACAGTGCCTGCATTTTCTGCATTGCATGAGAAAAGCATATCTTCCTTCTCCTGTCCTTACCACTTTCTACAGAGGGACGATTGAGTGCATCCTGTCATACAGCATTATAGTCTGGTTTGGAAGCATCACTGCTTCAGACAGGAAGATGGTGCAGAGACTGGTGAGGATGGCTGAAAAGATTATTGGCAGTTCCCCCCCTTCCATCCAGGCCATAGCATATAAGCATTGCTTGAGCAGGGTCTGCAGTATTGTCTGGGACATTACACATCCTCTTCACAACCTGTTTTCCTTGTTACTTTTTGGGAGCAGGCTTCGTGGTATCCGAAGCAGAACATCCAGATTCAGTCACAGTTTCATTCCATACAGTATTAACTTTGTGAACTCTAAAGCTTCCTCCTTCCATTATGTATTCAATATGGACAGTGATTAATATTTATATGTTACTTATATGTAAGGATGTAGGTCTATCTATACATATATTGTATAAAGTATGTTTAAATGTGTGTTATGTATGACATTTTCAGAGCAAGCAACTAAATTTCATTTTTAATGTGTGCCATTGTGCCATAGTAAAAAATGACAATAAAGGTTATCTATCTATCTATCTATCTATCTATCTATCTATCTATCTATCTATCTATCTATCTACATAAAGGATTTGGGGGGCACAAACAGCCTTAAGGTTGGAAGTTACAAAGCCTTGTTTTAAATAAACATTGCCGGACCATCTTGTATTCTTTGCAGTATTATGGTATTTATTATAGTTTCATTTTGATGTCCTAATTTGCATTTCAGAAGACCATTACCACAGGCTAATTTTATTCATTAACATTTTCTCCATGAGTAATAAAAATTGAAGACAATGTATAATCCAGTAATTGCTGACTGTTTAGGGGATTCAGTCTTTTTTTGTGATTGGTTTTAAATTTTCTATTATGGAAAATTATGGAAAATTTATCTTCTATCTTTGACAAAGAGAGACAAAAACTATATTGAGTTTTTTGCAAGGTCCTGCAAAAATGTGATAGGTTTCATGAAAGACAAAGTGGGATCACCGAAATGTAGCCAGTTTTCTGTCTTTACAATTTTATTTCTGGATCAGAGTTTCCAGATATTTTTTAAAAGCTAACAGGTTCCACAGCTTGAAAACATTTGAAAAGCCCTGGATGTTGCAATGAAGCAAAACATATATAAACACTCAAAACATATATAAACACTCACACATAGAAAGAGACAATTCTGGTCAAGTCATGACACAAGGTCTAAAACTAAAAATAAGAGATTAGGTGTTCTTACCCAATTTGGTGTCCATGAATTGTTGGCTAAGCACATAACATCCCCAGAAGACTCTTGCACAGCAGAGTCAGGATTATAGCTCAGCTTATTTGCAGGACATCAAACTGAGGAAGGCAATTCAGATGACATTAGTCCTAGTGATAATGCCATCCAGCCATTACTGTTCACTACACAATCCGAGTGCATCGATGTGGCTGGATGATACTAGCCTGTGATGCTATCTGTATTCCTGAAAAGAGATTGTCTTTTTGTTTTCTTTTTCTACTTAGGATTCTCCCCCATAAGGCAACTACTCAGCATATTGCTTAGATTAAATTAATGGAGGACTGGTTGAGGCGGCTGACGTTCGAATGCCCTTCTTCACATGACCATCTTCCTTCCACAAACTCTTTAGATAAACTGTTCTAAGTGATCCCTAATTTTGCTTCTCATCCAACAGCCATTCTGTCAAACCACTTCATACATAGAGAATGGCCAGGGCAAAGGGTAGTGTAGGGAAGGGGGAGGAGCCATGTTAAACCCTATTAATAACATTATTCCCCATGTGCTATTTAATTACAAGTTACCATTGAGTTGTAAGCCTCTAGGGGTTGCTCCCAACGCACTTGTGGCTTCAGCAGCCTTGGGACATGGATTGACATTCCAGGGGGTCCCCAAGCTACAGTCGGAAAAGGCAAGATATCTGTGTCTGTGGTGGTATTAATCAAATCCCACCTATTTATCATGTGCACCACATGAACAAAACAGGTGGATCTTGAACCACAACATTGTGGCAACCATCTTTTTTTTCCTTTTTTTTTAATTGAAAATTTTTTAAAATTTTACAAAAACAAAACAACCCTTGCCCAAACCTCCCCGACCCTCCCATTCCCTCCCTCGACCTTCCCAGAGCTGAATATAGGCTTAATTGAAATTTCTTCAAAAAATCTTAAAAAAGATATAAACCATAAATAAATCTAAATACATTACTTAAACAAATTATAAGATAATTAACAATAATGTATGTATAATAAACATAAATATTAGAAAAAAAATGCTTAAAAAGAAAAAGAATAAAGAAAAGGAAAAAAGAAAAAAGATATAAGAAAATAAAAAAAATAAAGTCTATAAAATATTAAATTTTAAATATAAGTTATTGAAAAACTAAATAATATTTTTTTATATCCAACTTATATTGCAACCATCTTTTTTAAAGGCTAATCTGTGACCATCCCTACACCCCATAGGATACCATTTTTGGGCTGCAAAGTTCCTGCCAATCAACAAATATTTATTGTTTACTGTATCTCTTTGCTGCCACCTGGTGTCCAAGTGAATATTTTATAACCTAGATATGGTACCCATATGCTTAATAGAAATAATGAATAATAATCCATCCCTAAGGATTGTAAAGTTTATTTATTTATTTATTTATTTATGAGACTTATATACCGCTTTAAGTGCAAGCACTCTCTAAGCGGTGTACACCAGTAAGCAATGTATATGACATGCACTCTATGGGCTTTGAAAGAAATGATGAATTGAAGGGATGAAAATGTTAACTGCAATGGAACATGTTGAGTTTTCCACTAAATGATCTAAGATACTACACTGTTCATGCAGTTATCATACTTGATACAAGAAACAGGCAACTATGAAGAGGCAAAAATGGCCCTTTCTAGATATTAAAAGTAATACTCGCAACAAGTCTAGCAGCAAGAAAGACAAATGCTTTACAAATATCATAATGCTGGATAATTGTGTAATTTGTCTGCAAAGATATCAAATGATTCTTACCAATGCTTCAGTTGTAGTTTCAAAAGAAAAAAAAATAGGGGGAAAAGCTAAGGTTATCTCTTAATTAAAAAAGAAAAGAAAAGAAAAAAAACTGCAGCTGAACTTGTTTAATGAAAAATGCCCTAAAGATTCTCTGATTCATGTAATGATATTTTTACTTCAACCAACAGCCAATTAAACTGTTTAATATAATTAAAGCAACTCATGAAAGTTTTCTTGTAAAACAAAATCATACGTACCATTATACATACATACATACATACATACATACATATATTAAGCATCAAGCAGGGCTGCGATCATCTTCTAAATGGTGGCAAGTGACCCAAATGACAAAGAAGTAAAATAATAGTTCCATGTGAAGCTTCAAAGGTAATCTTCACTTTGGCAAAAGTTCAAATGATGCTCCATCCACAAAGCAATGTACACCCCAAGCTTCTAAGAGGCTATGAGAGCTACCAAATTGCCTCATCCACCTCTGCTTCATGGTTTCAGCAGGTGCCACTTGTGTCAAATTGATCTAGCATGATGCACCCCAGGTGTGCACGAAAGATTTTTCAATCCCTTCAGAATTGGCAAAGAGGCAAATGGCACTGTCTCTATCGTAAGGAGAAGTGAGGTATCAAGAGGAAGCAAGTTGCAAGTCTTCTGCAACATTAGCCAAGGGAGAAAGCA